TTTGTTATACTAAACAGGGAACCGGTCGGCCGAGCGGATAGCACGCTGGACTTGTGATCCTGTGGTCCTGGGTTCGATCCCAGGCGCCGGCGAGAAACAATGGGCAGAGTTTCTTTCACCCTATGCCCCTGTTACCTAGCAGTAAAATAGGTACCTGGGTGTTAGTCAGCTGTCACGGGCTGCTTCCTAGGGGTGGAGGCCTGGTCGAGGACCGGGCCGCGGGGACACTAAAAGCCCCGAAATCATCTCAAGATAACCTCAAGATAACATATATCTAATGTCTCCTAAATGAGTACAATTTCTAAGGTCCAGACCATGTTCTTTAATGTTGGAGATTCAACAACTGTACGGCTGTTTACACCCAGAATTATTGCACTTTAAGGCCTTTATTGCACTTTATTGCAGGCCTTTATTTATTTTTTTATATACAAGAAGGTACATTGGGTTTGTGAGAATACATAGCATAGTATTTACAATCTTGTAAAGCCACTAGTACGCGCAGCGTTTCGGGCCAGGCCTTTCTGTCCGTAAGCATTGGGACTCTTGCTTGCAACACCATTGTACCGGTAAACATGTTTCTTTCCTGAGGGCCACTAGTATGTGGCCGAGGACAGGAAGCCGCTGGCTTGTCAAAGGTCCCCCCCTGCCTTTGCCGCGATGGGGGACCATAAACATATACAGGAAATGTAGATGTTTATCTCTCAGAATGTTCGGTAATATGTTTATTGTTTGTGATGTGTGTCTATGTATGTATTAACACGATGTACTGAACGGGGTGAGAATAGCTTGAGCTACCTCATTTCTTTGTGTGTATTTTACCTCAATAAACTTATTTCAATTTCAATTTCAACAGTTTTGACGTTTACAGCATCGGCGGGTAGGCTGTTGTTGTTTTAGATTCAGCTACTGAAACAAAAGTTCCAAAGTAGCACGGGCTATGGTGAGCCCGTATTAGACTTACCAGGCACAGGAGCGGGGCTGTAACTGAGGCGGGTAGGCGATTCCATGGGTTTATAACCCTATGGGTGAAAAATACACCTGTTCTCAGAAAAAAATCTCAAAAAAACCTGCTCTCAGAAAAAATCTCTCAAAAAAACCTGCTCTCAGAAAAAATCTCTCAAAAAAAACTGCTCTCAGAAAAAATCTCTCAAAAAAACTGCTCTCAGAAAAAATCTCTCAAAAAAACCTGCTCTCAGAAAAAATCTCTCAAAAAAACCTGCTCTCAGAAAAAATCTCTCAAAAAAACCTGCTCTCAGAAAAAATCTTTCTCAAAAAAACCTGCTCTCAGAAAAAATCTCTCAAAAAAACCTGCTCTCAGAAAAAATCTCTCAAAAAACCTGCTCTCAGAAAAAATCTTTCTCAAAAAAACCTGCTCTCAGAAAAAAATCTCAAAAAAAAAACCTGCTCTCAGAAAAAATCTTTCTCAAAAAAACCTGCTCTCAGAAAAAATCTTTCTCAAAAAAACCTGCTCTCAGAAAAAATCTTTCTCAAAAAAACCTGCTCTCAGAAAAAATCTTTCTCAAAAAAACCTGCTCTCAGAAAAAATCTTTCTCAAAAAAACCTGCTCTCAGAAAAAATCTTTCTCAAAAAAACCTGCTCTCAGAAAAAATCTCTCTCAAAAAAACCTGCTCTCAGAAAAAATCTCTCAAAAAAACCTGCTCTCAGAAAAAAATCAGAAAATCTCCTGTTCTCAGTTCTACATTATGGCTTATTGAGCTTGGAACCGTTGCCCCTTGTTCTTGTCACATCTGACCTTTTGAAGAAATGTTCCTAATCAACATCCTCCAAATTGTTCAGTATTTTAAATGTTTCAATGAGATCCGTCCTGTCATGTCTGGTTTGCTGTGTTGTCAGCCCTGTGGCCCTCCACCGTTCATGGTATGAGAGATGACTTAGCTCTGGAATGATTTTTGTTGCCCGGTGTTGCACCTTCTCCAGACCAGCTGTCTTTCTGAAGATGAGGGGCCAGATTCACGAAAGCACTTACGAACCTGTACATCTTTTCACAATCTTTGGCGGCTTTGTTTCCAATTATTTAAACAGTTAATGAGCTCTGAAGCACCAGGAGGCTGTTTATAACAATAACAACAGTTGATTGACAAGTTTTCATGCTTGTAAACTGTTTAATAAATGTAACCAAAGCCGTCAAAGATCGAGAAAAGATGTACACGTTCGTAAGTATTTGCGTAAGTGCTTTCGTGAATCCTGGCCGAGGTCTCCATGCCTGGATGCAATAATCCAGGTGGGGCCGGCGCACCAGAGACTTATATATCCGAAACACTTTGCGCAATAGTGGTTTTAGGCATTGTATGTACTAGCTCTATAAATTCATCAATGTCTGTATCACCCCTTGTATGCATGTACTTTACCTAAATAAACATTTGAATTTGAATTTTATATACCAGACATGAATGTAGCTTCTATTGACTTGATATTTTGTTCCCTCACCCACCAGTGACGGCACTGTTGTCTGAATATACCCCTGATTTGTAAATATTTTGTTTATTAAGTATTTAACATATTTCGCCTTGTTATGTGGGTCTGACGGCTGAGTACTCACCCAATTGTGCTTGCGGGGGTTGAGCTTTGGCTCTTTGGTCCCGCCTCTCAACTGTCAATCAACTGGAACCTGGAGTGGACAGCACTCGGTGTTTGTAGCCCCTAAAGGTAAGGGTTCGATCCCCGGTGGAGGCGGTAACACCTGGGAAGAGTTTCTATCACCCTGATACTCCTCTTCACCTAGCAGCAAATAGGTACCTAGTAGTTTAACAGTTGCTACGGGCTGCTTTTTGGGGATGTGTGCGTGTGTGAAAATTAGGCTTAAGGACCTGCCCGGAATCGCTATGCGTGCTAGTGGCTGTACAAGAATGTAAGAACTCTTGTATATATAAACAAATAAAAATAATTACGTTTTATAGTCGAGGATAGGAAGCCTATAGGCTTATCTAGCCCCCGCACTCCAGGCCAACAATAATGACCTTACCCAAGATACAGCGCACAACAATTGTTCTACATTCAGCTACTCGGAACAAAAAGTTCCAAGTAGCACGGGCTATGGTGAGCCCGAAGTGGACTTACCTGGCACAGGAGCGGGGCAAGTAGCACGGGCTATGGTGAGCCCGTAGGGGACTTACCTGGCACAGGAGCGGGGCAAGTAGCACGGGCTATGGTGAGCCCGTAGTGGACTTACCTGGCACAGGAGCGGGGCAAGTAGCCCGGGCTATGGTGAGCCCGTAGTGGACTTACCTGGCACAGGAGCGGGGCAAGTAGCACGGGCTATGGTGAGCCCGTAGTGGACTTACCTGGCACAGGAGCGGGGCAAGTAGCCCGGGCTATGGTGAGCCCGTAGTGGACTTACCTGGCACAGGAGCGGGGCAAGTAGCACGGGCTATGGTGAGCCCGTAGTGGACTTACCTAGCACAGGAGCGGGGCTGTGCAACAATTGCCTAACTCTCTGGTACCTATTTACTGCTAGGTGAATAGAGGCATCAGGTGAAAGGAAACGTGCCCAACTGTCTCGTTCCCACTCGGGAACCTGGATTGTGAGCCGAGGATGTATAGATCACTCTACTGCAGATCGCCTGCAGCATCCTTGGCACCCAGCATGTGTGCTCATTCCTTTATACAGATAACATAACTAAACCGCACACCAGAAGATAAGACGACGACGTTTCGGTCCGTCTTGCACCATTCTCAAGGCGGTTGTCTTGATAATGGCACGTTTCGGTCCAAGACGGACCGAAACGATGGCTGAAGATACGATGGCCAAACCACGCGCCAAAAGATAAGGAGACGACGACGTTTCGGTCGAAACGTGCCATTATCAAGACAACCGCCTTGAGAATGGTCCAACACGGACCGAAACGTCGTCGTCTCCTTATCTTCTTATGGTGCGTGGTTTGGTATCTTCAGCCACGTTATTGTGACTCGTCGTCTGCACAGATAACATCATGTTAAGGACTCCACAAGAACTCTTGAACACCTTCCCTGGCTGGATAACATCTTCAGTGTTCTTGCTTCAAGCTACTCTCTCTGTTTTCAGCTTTACGTTTTCTGAAGCTTTGCAATGGGGCTTTTGAAACATGGTAGATCACTGCCCCGCCTTGAACTAATAGGCCTTCTGAAGTTTAATTTATTCTTAGGTTTTAATATTCTTCAAGTAATTAAAGAGCCAGAGGTTATTTATTCATAATTGATACACAATATATATATATATATATATATATATATATATATATATATATATATATATATATATATATATATATATATATATATATATATATATATATATATTTGTGGTTTGCCAGTCTCTGAAACCAGTCAATTTTCCAACTAATTGTTGGGACAAAATAGGATTTTGGTTAACACTTCACCAGTAACATATTAATTCAAACAAAAAGACTAAGTAAAGATAACTGAGAACTAAGCAGTGGTCTTAGTAAGATAACTGAGAACTAAGCAGTGGTCTTAGTATTCACATTATTGCGACATGAAAACCAAGGATGAGAAATGTCAACAATAATAAACGCAGAACGGCCGAATGTGTAATGGGCGATTAATGCGTTACCACGCTACTAACGCAGAAACTGCTATCACACACAATCACACAGTGAGTTGCAGCTTCTCACACACGTTAACAGTTTGCGTTTAAATTAGAAACATCACCTGCGATTGTAAATAATATCATTAAGGTCTCGGCAGACGACTGGTCGGCTAAAGCCCGCGCTATTTTCTGATGCTTGCGCACGCCCACTTTGTTTTCTTTTTTAATAAACTCTGGTATCCGCGGCACCCCTTAGTATACACCTAAATATAACAAGAAACTATCAAGACTTGGCCTTGGAAAGCATTCAGTATTATTAAAGGAGATACATGGGCTGAAAATTAGAAAATAATGCTATTTAAAGCCCTTAAAAGCTCTTATTTCCGATACGCTTATGTTTCGTTTTCAATATTGTGGCTGGTTTGTTTGGATTTAGGAGTCTATATTTGTATCCGACATTTGCGCCAAGGATACATTTGTAAACTGAGGACTTTGACATAGTAATTTTTACTTTATACATTATAATGTTGCTATGAATAACGAAGAGATAATTATATGTCATTGTTACAGTCTAAATAAGGACAAATATAAGGGATAGATAAATAAGTGTCGAGTGTAAGCTGAGAACTCGGGAGATAAATGAGCGACTCTGGCTGGTCTTTGACCTGAACTATAAAGTGCAAGAAGGGTTGGCAAATTTGATGAATGCCATGCAATAATAAGTTGTCTAGTCATAAAAACACCACCAAGTCATTGCCATGACTTCAATGGAGTACGATGTCGACTCCATGGGCGGCCTCATGCCGGTGAGTAGATATTAAAGACTGTTGAATACAGGGTGAGTAGCAGCAGGTCTTGGTCTAAGCGAGAGTATGGCGCCTCCATCTTGTAGCCTGATGGTCGGGAGGCGACTCATGGACTACACTACACTTAATATAAAAATTATCAAAGCCTGGTCAGGAGTCTTGTGGTTCAAGTAAATCATTAAGGTAGTGTAATAGAACAAGAATTACATGGTTGGAAAAATGTCAAGTAACCCTAAACAGCATAAATTTCTCAGTTGGTCCGATTAACCTCGCAGCAAATCATAAAGTAATGTTATCATAAGTTCTTTGCATCTTAATTTACTAGTATATTCATATATTACAGAATAATAATAATATAATAATAACAATAATTTTATTCACATGAAGGTACAATGGGTTGGTGAGATTAAATGAGATTGGCATTTTTACATTCTTACAAAACCACTAACACACACACAGCGTTTTGGGCCTAATATTTTTATTTGGGTCTAATGGCGAACATTGATTATTATATATTATAGTATCGTTCGTATTCAAAATTATTAGTTAGCCATTTATTTAGTTTTATACTGAGTATTCTCTTCTAGTTAGTGTTCAGTGAAAACTGATAAATATTAACATTTGTAGTTAATATAAACTTATAAACATTTTAGAGTTATGAAATTTTTTTATATTCTGGTATTTATATAACTTGGCTATCATACTAGATGAATTCAGAAAGTCAACCTAAGAAATATTTAGTTTTTTGTTTACAAATCTGTGATGACATGATAATCAAGGTTTATGTGTTTTACTTTTTTAAGAAATTTCTATTACCGTGTACTGATAAAATAAACTCATTATTTGCTGTGCTATTTTCCAATTCACATACAATTTGTACTCAAAGAATATAGAAAGGCATAAATGTTAAATTTTGTGTGATAGGACATGTACACGGCTTATAAATATGCCGAAGAACTGCTTTGAGCTTTGCAGCAAATATTGTTAGAATAGCATACCCAATCTGCAAATCATTTTTAAAATCAGATATATAAATATTTGTAATGGGTTATCATTGTTTGTACCAAAAGTTAGGTTAGAGATTTCTAATCCTGTAATTTAGAGCAAAGGTTTTCATGACCAGCTGTTTTCTAAAACACACTAATGCATTTTTTTCCAGAACTGCCTTTCTACCTTTTTAAGATTTCTTCATGTTTTATTTTTTATTATCAAATAGTATGCCTTTGTTTTGTAATGTAAAAAAGTGGTAACTGCTTCACTTATATAATGGTACAGTAACTATTTAAATTTAGTTTGAGTACTGTACTTAAATTTATCAAATATAACTTTGCTCCTTGTAAGGAGAGATGGAAACTTCTGATATAAATCAGTAGATGGTATGAATTGTCCATCTTATCTTGAATTAGACCAAATTTAAAATCTTCTGATTTCTTGAAATGCTCATTTACAATCCAAAATTGTGTTAGGTGATTGAGTATCTTCAGGATTTCATCCTAAACCTCCCATCCCCTATTAAAGTGGAAATTGCAGGTAACAAAGATAGTGATACATTTAAATTGGGTAGCTGTTAAAAATGTTTTAAACTGAATTGTATATGAAAAAGTAGTAGACAAGTTTTCATATGCCTCTCATAACATAAATTGACCAATATGGAGTCCCTAATTTTGGTGAGAATTGGTGGAGTGTTCTATAATAAAAAATATATATTAACCTAATTTCTACATTCTGGTACCTATTTCAGTTGAAAATGTGAATTGGAAAATAAGTAGGCAGGTTATTCAAGTAGGCCTAGCCTAGCTTATGATTCCCAGAAAATGCCTTGATTTATCTAATCTATTCATAAGAAATTAAGAATACAGTTTGACAAATCCAGGGATCCCATCACAATGGTTGTACTCTTCAAGTCACTTGTGTTGTCCCATCTTGAGTACTGCTCACTTCCCCCTTCAGAGCAGGAGAGATTGCTGAAATAGAGGGAGTACAGAGAACATATACAGAATACATAGACACAATAAAGAACCTAAATTATTGGGATCGTCTCAGAGCTCTTCAAATGTACTCACTAGAAAGGAGACGAGAGAGATATTAAATAAGATACACGTGAAAAATTACTGGAGGGCAAGGTTTCAAATCTACACAGTAAAATAACAACATACTGGAATGAACGATATGGAAGAAAATGCAGAATAGAACCAGTGAAGAGCAGGGGTGCCATAGGCACAATAAGAGAACACTATAAACATCAGAGGTCTGCGGTTGTTCAACATCCTCCCAGCGAGTATAAGAAATGTTGCCCGAACAACTGTGGACATCTTCAAGAGAAAACTAGATACCTGTAGTTTTGTTCAAGAATTGCAGGACCAACCGGGCTGTGGTGGATATGTGGGCCTGCGGGCCACTCCATGCAACAGCCTGTTGGACCAAGCACTCACAAGTTAAGCCTGGCCTCGGGCCGGGCTTGAAGAGTAAAAGAACTCCCAGAACCCCATCAAGTTGGTATCAAGCAGTGTCAAATTAAGAATATAAATTCCATAGTTGCTTTTAATTCAGTACACAACATTCTATAGAATGTAAATAAAGATGCAATGAAGAAGAATATTAGGACAAGAAAAATATGTGTAGTGATGTGGTATAGACATAAAGGAAGCATGTGAGATGATATAGACAAAAAAAGAGTAATCGAGCAGTTAAAAGATGCATAGACTTCAGTTAAGATTGAAGATGAAGAAGAATTTAAATTTTATTATGATCCCCCTATATATTTTAACGAATTCCCAAAATACTGCAGCCCATCCTCCTAAAATGATAGCACATATACAGTAGTAACTATTTGGTCGATAGTACCAATACAGTATGTAGTAATGGACCACCAAATTTATAAGAGTATTGTAGTAGCAAAAGTTGAATTTTCCTTCATTCTTTGCTAAGCATCTTCCTCCTCTTCTTGATGGTACGCTGCACGAAGGGTTTATCTCTCCCAATGACGGCACGAGTATTAATGTTGCGAAATGTGTCACTCTGGTGCATCGGTGTTGGGAATGACAAGGCTTGAAGATTTATCTTTGTTCTCTTTTGCTGTTGATACAGGAGTGGTGACTAGAAAGTAGGCGTGTGTGTTAGAGGGAGACTTGATGCCTCTGTAGGGCACGAGCTGGATGTTATGTTTATGGCATCAGCTGATCGTTTGTGTTTTTGCAGTGAGGCATAGCATCCCTGAAGTTCATGAAGCATTTCTCCTTATTCCTGTGTAACACTACCAACATTTATTCATATGTGTCATTGGGCTATATTATAACTGCATTATTTTTTAGGATTTGTGTACTTATTCTTCATGGAAACTAAGAACATACAACTGTAGATCAATTTATAAAATGTTAATGTTTAATTCATCTGATAACAAAAAGTGATTTACATTAAAGAAATTTATTATCATGAAGCATTAAGTTATATATTTAATTAAACTACATTATTTAAATTAAATTATTTAAGTTAAATTAAAGTACTATGTTAAATTTAATTATTTGTACTGTATTTAATTTCCAGCAAATCCTGGCTTTGACTGCACCTCCTGGAAGCCGAGAACCAACCAAACAGCAAAATGCGGGTTCAACAGGCTCCATTAAAGAAGGCCTAGCTGCCCATCCATATTTTCGTCGTCCAGGTCGAGGCCACAACCACGATTCATGTGATGCGTGTGGAGAGGGCGGGGATTTAATATGTTGCGATGTCTGCCCAGCTTCCTTCCACCTCATGTGCCAGTGAGTCTTCTTGAATACCATGTAATACAGTACTGTACTTGTGAAGGATTTATACAACTCGTACACTCGTCCAGCCTAGCCTATTGAATTATACAATGTTTGCAGTACCTGATCAGTCAGGCTGTTGCTATTTGCAGCCAGCAGTATAACATATAGACATCAAAAAGTGGCATATCAGCTAGCCTCTTAAAACTTTAGAGTTTAATCCTCTTGAAGGTATCAAATAGTAGTAGTAGTAGTAGTAGCAACTACATATTTCTCATAGGAAATGTAGATGTTTATCTCTCAGAATGTTCGGTAATATGTTTATTGTTTGTGATGTGTTTATATGTATGTATTAACACGATGTACTGAACGGGGTGAGAATAGCTTGAGCTACCTCATCCCTTTGTGTGTATTTTACTTCAATAAACTTATTTCAATTTCAATTTCAATTTCATATTTCTCATTCTAGCTGAAAAAAAAGAATAAAAAGTATAGGAACTGAAATGCTAATCCCAAAGTTCTCGGGTAATTCTAATCACTTCCTCTACTTTTGATTCAATTTGTTGTTTGATTTCCTTCATATTTCTTGCTCTAGTATATTTGTAGTATTTTTGCATGGTAATTAGGAAAAGATCTCTCCTTGAAATATTTTCCGTGTGAACTATTAGATTTTTATATATATTTACAGTAGTATTATTTCTTTCCAAAGTGATATAGTTAATAGTAAAGTATTTATGTGAATTCCTTTATGTCTATTTTATCTATGGTTATTCTTGCAGTTCAAGGCCACATGTACTGTGACATTATTATATATGTATATTTATATGTTGTATTAATTGCCAGAACCATACGACTAGGCTTAATAGGCAAGTTGCATTCTGCCTAATGGCTCGGGAGTTTTGGGTAATTCTCATATGTTTCTGCAAAATGTGTCATTAGATTGTAATGAACTGAACATATTGATTACATTTATTACTACGTAATTTTTAGGTCTAGTTTTAGCTACATTAAGCGTAAGTTAAAAGTACAATATTTAAAATGTCTGTTTGCTTGCTTGTTTGTCTGTCCAAAGTTGGAGGCCAGATGCTAGCCTGACCAAAATTTTCAAGGGGAATGGTCTGGGGTATGGAACGGACATAGGGAGCCGGTCGGCTGAGCGAACAGCACACTGGACTTGTGATCCTGTGGTCCTGGGTTCGATCCCGGGCGCCGGCGAGAAACAATGGGCAGAGTTTCTTTCACCCTATGCCCCTGTTACCTAGCAGTAAAATAGGTACCTGGGTGTTAGTCAGCTGTCACGGGCTGCTTCCTGGGGGGTGGAGGCCTGGTCGAGGACCGGGCCGTGGGGACACTTAAACCCCGAAATCATCTCAAGATAACCTCAAGATAGGATGGCTGTGAGAAGTTTAGTGGCGTTGGTCACTGAATGACAGCTGCTGGAAACTTGCTCGTTTGTTACATGTGTACATTCAGGTGCCGAGCAAATGGTCAACTACTGAGTGTTTTTTCTCGAATTAAGTATTTGAATGCCAAATTGTTTGAGTTTGGAGCAGTTCGAGTGCTGAGGTATCAGCGTATATGGGATTGTCCGTTCAAGGTTGGAAGGGAGAGGGGGGAAGGGTAGGGAGATGGTGTGAGGGGGCAGAGGAAGGGTGGAAAGAAGGGAAAGAATGGAGAAGAGGAACGGGAAGAAGAAGGGATCCAGAATAATTTTGAAATCTGAATCGGGTCCAGGATGATATAAGCCGGATTTTCGAGGTGTTGTGTATTTGTGATAATAATTTTTAAGTGCTTCATTTTTATTGTACTCTATTGTTTTTGTAATCTTTTATAATTACACCATAAAATCATGAAAGAGGCTCGGTCACTGGCCAAACACATTCTTCACCATGTGAGGGTTCTGTACCATTACAAACCAACTAACAACAAACTGGAATGATGTACTTTGTATCAATTGAACCACAATATTTGACTCGACATAACTGAAATTATGAACTCATTATTTCCAGAGAAATGTAATATTGGACATTTTTAATTTGAGTGTATAGTGTACTATTTTACTTAATTCAATGTGTGATAGTGACTATAGAACCCATGAATTGATTTACTCATAAAGCACTTCCAATGCCTGCACTTCAAGTGAGCAAATTATCATTAACAAAAATTCTAAGTCTTGAGATTTAACAACATTTCCTTGTGTTTCAGTGATCCACCTCTGGATGAGGAAGACATACCTATGGGAAGGTGGGCGTGCCATCAATGCAAAGTTTCAGGGGTGAGCATATTATTCTTAACCGGATATTTGGTCTTAATATGTTCAGGTTTCTTCCCAGCTCTCTTGAGCATAGATTAATCTTAGACTGCATAATATTGTACAATTTTACATATAAAACATAATGTTTTTGAGAAGAAAAATATTACTTGATGTCATCTTGATATTTTGATATTATTTGATGATCACAACAGAATTTGAAGTAAATATTTGATAATAGTGAAGCTGTTAACTACAGATGTATAATGTTGCGGGTATTGTGTGTTTAATTTGAGCCACTGTATCTTTGGGATGAGGCAGCTTAATGGCGGTAGCTGAATGCTGTAGTTACTTATCCTCTTTACCATTTCCAGAAAGAATCTGGCTCTTTTTTTTTTACCATATTACATATTTGTACTAGCAGTATGTTGATTAGAGTACCAGGGAAAACAACAATTTTGAACACGTTATAAAAATGAAATTAGGGGACTTTCGCAACTATGTCGTGAGTGGCTTGCTAAGGTAAGACGTGATGTGTCATAAGTCGAGGATCGTGTACAGCCAGGCAGGATGTCATAGTGCCTCTGGCATCACTCCCAACTTCTCAAATGGAACATCTGCAGGGTCGTGAATGCCCAAAAGAGGTACATTCATAAATTCTCAAAGCCCTTCTCGTGTCTGAAAAATGAGGGCTCTTGCTAATTATTTCTTTGCTTGTCAGGCTACCTAAACCTACCACCACTAGGCAGCAGCACTATATATTCCTCAGAGTTCCAAAACCAATATCAGTCAGTAGACAGGGAACTGATTTTCAGATAAGCTTGACACATCTTCAGGACTATGAAACTTAGTATCTATAATAATAATAATAATAATAATAATAATAATAATAATAATGTTTATTCAGGTAAAAGTACATACATACAAAATGAGTTACAAATAGAATGTTGGATTTCTAAATAGAGCTATTAGGCATTCGTCAGTCTCGGGAGACTATGGTGTTGCGCTCCGGTTTTTGGTCTGGAGTGGCCTCACCAGGGCGCAAAGCCAAGGTTGGTTGATATGGAGAAGAAGTTGTTACCCATGCAGCAGGTCCCCTCTCTCTTACATATGCCTAAAGCCACTAATACACTCAGCATTTCGGGCAACATTCTGGTGTTCAATGGTCTATACAATGTATAGGCTATACAAACTTTGCATGTGTGAGTTTATTAGTCTCTCTGTGTGTTTGATACTTTTCTAGCTTGTTCACTCAAGCCATTGCTGTTGGTACACAGTAGTGGTGGTACACAGCAGTGTTGGTACACAGCAGTGTTGGTAAACAGCGGTGTTGTTCACAGTTGTATTGGTACACAGCAGTGTTGGTACACAGCAGTGTTGGTACACAGCAGTGTTGGTAAACAGAGATGTTGATACACAGTGGTGTTGGTACACAGCAGTGGTGGTACACAGCAGTGTTGTTCACAGTAGTATTGGTACACAGCAGTGTTGGTACACAGCAGTGTTGGTAAACAGTGGTGTTGGTACACAGTGGTGTTGGTACACAGCAGTGGCTTAACTCTTAAGATCTATATCACTTCTTTCATGGTCCTCTAGAACAGTGTCGAGAAGTAAAGACGTATAGTTTGCCATGTTCTCACTGCGCCTTTCATGTGTAATTGTTGTTTGACTCCAGCGTTGACACGGGTTAAGTCATCTGCTGCTGAGCGCTTGCATCTCGGATTATGGGTGCAGGAGCTTATAGCGAGTCTAAGGCCTATTGGCCTCTTGTTTTGCCTCTTTAATGTTGACCAGACCACACACTAGAAGGTGAAGGGACGACGACGTTTCGGTCCGTCCTGGACCATTCTCAAGTCGATTGTGATAAAGGAGTTGTTGTTGTTATAGATTCAGCTACTCGGAACAGGTTCCAAGTAGCACGGGCTATGGTGAGCCCGTAACTTACCTGACACAGGAGCGGGGCAAGTAGCACGGGCTATGGTGAGCCCGTAACTTACCTGACACAGGAGCGGGGCAAGTAGCACGGGCTATGGTGAGCCTGTAGTGGACTTACCTGGCACAGGAGTGGTGCCATCTCTATGGATAAAGGAGGTGATGCAGGCAATAAATAGGCAAGAGAGAGGTGAGGAGCAAGGCAAAAGGTACGAACGGTAAGGTGTAGTAGAGGGGATAGTAGTAGGAATAAGAACTGCAGAAGGCCCATTGGCCCATACGAGGCAACTCCCATTGCCTCTTTAATGTCGGGTATCGTGGCACACACCCTTATGTTTCTCATTTGTGGAGCATTTTAACCCCCCTAACTGTGCACCTAAACTAGAACAATTTTGTGGTGTACACAAAAAATGATCTTTTCTTTCTATATTTGTAAAACATTGCTTTCTGATGTCTAGAATTATTTGTAATAATTTTAGTTTGGTTGTAGTGAGGTGAACAAATGTTGATGGCATCATATTTTGATAAATAACTTTTAAAGTTAACTATTTGTAATAGACTTCTCATCACAAATATCTTCCAGATCCATAAAAATCTTTGAAATTTTGCATAGCATCAGTCAATGGGTGGTGATCCATCAGACATGGTGCTCATATTTTTACTAAGGCTCAGGAAGAAAACTAAGGCTTTCGGGATTTATTCCAATATGGCAGACAATTTTAATGTTTTGTATCATGAATTTTGGGGATCAGGCTGGAGCTTAGGTAATTACACTATAATTACAGTAATTACATGCTCATTCACTCTAATAGACTAATATTTTTGATTTTGTAAAGCTCAATATTATCCTCTTAAATGCAAATTTACCTCCTCTTTACTAGCCTGATGATGACAGAACTTCAGTGTCTAGTGGCAAATCTAACAAGAGTTCCAAGGGTATTAAACGAAAAGAAAAAGAAGATGACAAGCCAACTTCGTCATCAGCTGGAAAAGCCGACACCAATGACAAGAGAGTGTGTGCAGGGGGACGGGAGTTTGAAATTTCTGATTCTCCGCTGTTCACACTCATTAAGGCAGCAGCTACAGTCAACCCTAAGCAATTTGCTCTGCCTTTTGAGATGACATTGCCTGTTTGCTTTCCTGGTGAACCCAAAAGTATGTCTGGACTTTTATTTGTTATGCTTGCATCTATATTTTATGTTTATTCTTCGTTTAGCTGATTCTTCACATTTAGTTGTTTTTAGCCAAGACATACATAAATAAAAGGTTCAAATTCAACTCTAATTGAAGGAAAGAAAAAAGTTTGTTTTTTCTGAACTATTGCAATCAGTTGCTCCATGAGATGAGAATTTTTCAGTACCGTACATATAATTCATGAACAATCTGACAGGGTACTGGTAATTCAGGTACTGGAGCTGTAAGGATCTTACAGCTCCAGTACCTAAATTACCAGTACCCTGTCAGATAAAATATTCCCACAGGGTCATGTTAGGGGACGTGGGAGGCACTGGAGAGAAGCTTAGTCTAACTCAAAATGACAATCAGTGGTATATTCTTAAAGCCTCGAGGCCATATTGAATCTTCATTTGGTATCATAAGCGTACGCCTTCAGGCAGTTTTGAAATCTCGCTCAATGTTCACAAAGGATTTAATTGGACTTGGAGCCTTTATGAATGAACCTCATATGGTTCTTCTGGGGTGGACTGAGACTGAGCTTCTCTGGTGCCTTCCTAACACCTGATGGGACCCCCCATGGATATGTTTGAAAAAGATCCCACAAAACTGATACCTGAATGATGTCCTGCCTGACTTCATGCATCCTGCCTTTTCCACAACAGATTCTTATCTTATGGAGCAACCTAATTGGTATACTCGGAAAAGTGCATTTCATATTTACTCAAAATCTAATTTTTCTATGCATACTAAGCACAAATTATAGCTGTAGTTTAGCTTTGTCTGTCTGTCGCTCTTTCTGGTTTTCTGTGAATGTTTTATGTTTAGTTGTGCTCAGCATTGTGCAGTGCAAGCATTTATTTTTGTTTGCATCATTAGTCAGTGCTAGCTTTTATGGGAAAGCTCTTTCCTGTGATGGTTTGCAAGTCTAATGCTTTCATTATTATGAGAGGACCTTTATAACCGGCATATAATTAGATCTTGACCGTGTAGCTGAAGGAAGTTCAAGATTAGCCTTCATAAATACCATCTTTAGCTTAAATACAACAATTTCACAAATATTGTGTGCTACCTTTAACGTTTCCTTCTTACTGTAAAACCTCTTTGCTACTTGCATTCAAGGCATTCAATAACTACCCAGTAATTTTGCCTCAATATTTGTACAAGCCTGTAATAGACTTTCTCAGTTATGCTAAGGAGGCATATACATTAATTCCTTATAATGAAGAGAATAGTACTTTATTGAGATACATCTGTGGATACAGTGCTAGGGAAAAAATAATAACTTAAAAGCTGGGGCCAGATTCACGAAGCAGTTACGCAAGCACTTACGAGCGTGTACATCTTTCCTCAATCTTTAATGGCTTTGGTTACATTTATTAAACAGTTTACAAGCATGAAAACTTGCCAATCAACTGTTGTTATTGTTATAAACAGCCTCCTGGTGCTTCAGAGCTCATTAACTGTTTAATAATTGTAAACAAAGCCACCAAAGATTGAGAAAAGATGTACAGGTACGTAAGTGCTTGCGTAACTGCTTTGTGAATCTGGCCCCAGGTTCTTTACTAGGATTATAAAGTAAATGAGTATTGGTTTAGCTTTCAATAATTGATTTGTTAATATTTGCTAATGTGTATTTTCTAGTTAAATATTCAATACTTCATTGCTCTTATTAGATACTATAAATTGTCAAGATTTGATTGTGTAATTGATAATGTTTCTCAGGAAAAATTAGTAGTATACTGTATTTATAATTGTAAAAGGGGGGTTGACTCAGATGGTAATGTTATGATAATTTCATTATGTGAAATGCTTAAGTGTTCTTTTTACATGAGCTCATAATAGTGCCAGCTCGTGTTATATAATGCAAGCAGCAATGAACATATATACGTTAGATGTATTGGTGAATTGCGACAACTTGAACTTATAGAGCGAAGTAATCTCACTATGTATAATGAAGCAGAGTGACATAAGGGACATTTTAGGTATAATGAAGTAAGAAACACTGAATAACTACCCATTCCAGTGCAGACCTGAAGAGCTCACCTTTCATAATCAACAAAAAAATGCATCAGAGAAATTAGTGGAGACCGGGAATTACAAGAGTTGTGGTATTTTTCAATGAAGGTTGTCAAGTTGTCGGGAATTGTGAGAGTAGAGTAGTGGTAAGATTTAGGTTTGGTTAAGACCAGAGAAGGTAGTGATGATGTTAGTAGCAGAACATCTCCGTGCTCCGTTTATCAGTCTCCGTGGTGTAGTGGTAAGACACTCGCCTGGCGTTCCGCGAGCGCTATGTCATGGGTTCGTATCCTGGCCGGGGAGGATTTACTGGGCGCAAATCCTTAACTGTAGCCTCTGTTTAACGCAACAGTAAAATGTGTACTTGGATGAAAAAACGATTCTTCGCGGCAGGGGATCGTATTCCAGGGACGATAGGATTAAGGACTTGCCCGAAACGCTACGCGTACTAGTGGCTCTACAAGAATGTAACAACTCTTGTATATATCTCAAAAAAAAAAAAAAACATGGGGTAGATTATAAAATATTGTTCCTTTTACAGATACCGGTAAAAGTAATGGAGCAAGAAAAGGAGCCCAGAAGAAGAAAGCTCATGAACTTGACAATGGTTTAGTTCCCCTGCCAGCCAAACTCTGTTTTCAGTGCAACAAGTAAGGCAAAATAATTTTCTTGTATGTAATATATATAATGGTTTCATACACATTTTTATTCAATATGTTATTTCTCACCTGTTAAACATCTTTTCTAGAAGAGCTCCCCCCCCCCCCCTCCTCAGAATTTCTCTTGCTATAACCAGGGGTGTACAGTAGTCCCAATTTTATAGGTGCTGTAACTCGGTGGGCCTGACAAAAGCCTGTCATTTCCTATGCTGTTTCTATATATCTCACAAGGTTAAGTATTTCGTGTTAGTACTCACTAATTATCATAAAATATAATTATTAAACAAATAAAGAAAAAACATCAATCCTGAATTTATCAATTTAAGAAGTTAAATTGATAAATTTAACCACCAACCTCCACTTTACTAATGCCACTGAAACATAGAAGCAGAGTTGCCAGCTCAGTATTTCACACGACACTAGAACCACCCCAAAAATATTTCACACGACACTAGAACCACCCCAAAAATATTTCACACGACACTAGAACCACCCCAAAAATATTTCACACGACACTAGAACCACCCCAAAAATATTTCACACGACACTAGAACCACCCCAAAAATATTTCACACGACACTAGAACCACCCCAAAAATATTTCACACGACACTAGAACCACCCCAAAAATATTTCACACGACACTAGAACCACCCCAAAAATATTTCACACGACACTAGAACCACCCCAAAAATATTTCACACGACACTAGAACCACCCCAAAAATATTTCACACGACACTAGAACCACCCCAAAAATATTTCACACGACACTAGAACCACCCCAAAAATATTTCACACGGCACTAGAACTACCCGAAAAATATTTCACACGACACTAGAACCACCCCAAAAATATTTCACACGACACTAGAACCACCCCAAAAATATTTCACACGACACTAGAACCACCCCAAAAATATTTCACACGACACTAGAACCACCCCAAAAATATTTCACACGACACTAGAACCACCCCAAAAATCATTAAATTACGTAAAGTTGTGTGTAGCAATTTTGTCGTTTTACCTGCCGAGTATTTAATACTAAGATATACTACTGTATGAATAAAGAATACCTGTCTAATGAACTACTGGTCCGCTACAGCCATGAACATTATCGCTGAATATTCGTATCCAAAGCAGTAGGTTGGCAACTTTGTCTCATGCTGTTTGTCTCGCATAAATTGATTTATGTCTTTGTTTTATGTCTGATTTATGAATCCATAAATGGATAAATCGGGTGCCACATAAATGGATAAATGCCTTTACGTGTATCGGGCGTTATGTTTCAAGAGTCGTACCAGTACAATTCAGCCTGTTTACTTTTTAAATCTATACAAATTTAAATATTGAATCTTCAAAATAAAAACAAGAAATATCATAACATTATTAATTTACTAGTGATGTAATACTAAAATTTTCCTGCCACGATCAACCATCACCTACAAGCCATCATCTCCCTTTCCCCTCGTTCTCTTTCCCTTTCCTCCATTCCATCATCCACCTGCAGAGGTGCCGGAGTGGCACTCGGGCAAGCTCCGGGAGTACTGCACCGCTGCACCACTGGCTATAACACGGGAGGCTGCCAAGCCTTAGGGAATTACAGCATGCTTCTGAGACCAACTCTAACCTATTGGAAGCCAGAACCAGAATCTGGCTTGCTCTTTGAGGTGACGTTGAGCTTTATAATTAGAGATCAACCCTAATTGAGAAAAACCTATTAGAAAGGATGAGAGCAACGAAATAAAAACCTGCTTGAAAGACATTTGTAGCCCAAAGAAAAAAAGGCAAATCATTATTGGAGAGATCTAAATACCCCATCATAATACGCTTGATTACAACTAGATCAGCCCATCCTCTCAAGCATGCTCACTGTCACTAAACTGATGTACAGTAAGTACTAAATTGTCCGAACCTAACCTAGCTGAGGACCCACAAACAGAAAATGGGGCCACATCAATTTTGCAAGCTGTTGCGATTTAAGTACAGTACATCAGTTTTTGGCCTTGAGGGATTTATATGTCAAAATGCAATATGCTATTTGAGAGAAGAGGTTGACTAGATAGTTGCCCAGGTCACCAGTCAACCGTCTCATTCTTGAACTGCCTTAAATGAAACTTCAGGCAGTTGCTTATTTTGATAAACTTATACTCCTTGGTGGGTTTTTTTCAGTTGTCGGTTGATCTCCAAGCTTGCCTCACCTCATAGAGAGCCAGATCTTGTCCTGGCTTCTGGTAGGCTCAATTCAGCCTCAGTGGCCTGGTGTAATGCTCGAAGGTTTGACAATCCTAATGCTGCTATAGCTTCAGGAAAGTTGTTGTTGTTATTAAAGATTCGCTACCTGGAACAAAAAGTTCCAAGTAACACGGGCTATGGTGAGCCCGTAGATAGTTATGCTTCAGGGACCCACCAACAAGGGGCCATTTCATTACGTTTAATGCACGATTTGTATTTTTGATATTTTAGAATACAATACAGGTACTGTATATGCATATTTGTTCTGGTCTTCCTAACAGAAGCTGTCGTGTAGGCCCTCTAATACCCTGTGATTATTGCCAGCTGTTCTTCCACCTTGACTGTTTAGACCCCCCTCTCACCACTCCACCAATGGGAAAATGGATGTGTCCTAATCATCCTGAACATTTTGTCGTAAGTAAACTACTGAAATATAATTTGCTGGTTTAAAAATGCTATCCTTTTATTTGTTGCATCCATGTGAGATACAGAAATATGTCATGCACAGTAGAGACTGAAGTGGTATGTCAGCAAATTTTTAAATTACTATATACTGTAGTGTTAACAGAGTAAATTTTTAATATAAAAAGCACGTTTTTGAACATTGGAAAGAAATCCACGGATGTTACCTTATTAAAGTGTTTGGAGTATGTTGGATCAGACTTGAATGTGGTTTCCAGAATACTTGAATGAACAAGGTATATATACATTTATTGTTTTATGTGGATCATCTTGTATAACATTGAAATGTATGATATTAAAGTGTTAAACTGCAGATAGTAACTTAAGTATATTTATGAGCAACCCCCCCCCCCACTCAGTTGATCCCTGAACTATGTACCAATATGCCTACTCAGACCACCAAACATGTCAGGCTATGTCAACCTAGTCTTTCACCATGACAAATCTTTGCTAATGTTCTTGTGACATAAATGGAAGACGGAAGGGAGATGGGGAATTTTCTATCAACAACCGAGATATCATCTCTTTTCTCATATCACAAATGAGAAAATCTAATATCTTAGCATCCACTGCAAACAAAACCTTGAATTTGATGGGAAAGCCAATTATCATTGTGCCAACTTCTGAATAGACTACTACAGGTATCTACTACCCTCAAACGCTACTAGATGATAGCACGCTACATGTAAACAGGATCTGCATAGAGGTTCTCGTGCTTTATTGCTCACTTCATACGCATGGTTACCAAGTTGTTTGGATGTGTCTATCTTATCCTCTACTTCAGATTTGTCCCACTTTTCTTCACATCATTTAATAATTTCTACAATACCTTTTTCACTTGCAGCTTTCCCACATTTCAGCTTCCGCATTGATGTAATCTGTCATTTATATGAATACATCTATTTTGGTATTCTATCTTGCACACTTCTCATACCAAAAAAACAAATCATATTGACCAGACCACAAACTAGAAGGTGAAGGGACGACGACATTTCGACGACGACAATTTACTTTAGCCACGTTATTGTGACTCATCTCCTGCAAACAAATCATATTTATATATGTCTTTTTCATCAGTTCCACACATCGGGCTTTCAAAATAGAGTACAGGATTTGCACTACTTACCGGCACTTCTAATTGCACCTTCACCCGTTAAAGTTTTCCCCATACTTTTCCCTAGTACTGTACTGTATTCCTGTTTTTACACTTTCTTGCTCTTTTCCAAGCTGTCTTATGAGTACTGTAATTATATTTACTATTTATTCCTACCTGCTTATTTGCTTTCAGCTTTTTCCTGCTTATTAATATTTTCATATAGCTTTTACTCTAATAATACTCTTGCGATCCTTATCTCTATCCTCTTCACTTTTTGTACTGTAAATCCGCTTACTTTTATTCCCTGTAAACACACAACGTAACTGTCGCTATTGTTTCCTTATTACAACTTATTACAAACCTGTTACATCTTGTTAAAACTTATTATGTGTCAGAAAGTTGTCACAACGTGCTAGATATGTGTTACTACTTTTTAGAAGGTGTTACAAGTTCAAATGTTGTAGCAATGTCGTAATTTTGTCGTGTGTTTGGGTTATCAGCTGTTCTTCCACTTCCCCATTCCAGCAAACAGTTTGTTTTACTCTTACACTATATTCCATAACACCTTTACTCTTACACTATATTCCATAACACCTTTACTCTTACACTATATTCCATAACACCGTGCATCTAATTAGCAATGTCAGCCAAACATGGCTTGTACTCTGTGTGTGGCATTAGGATTCATATGTTCATACCCTTGCTCCAAGATCACTAATGGTTATATGCTTGTACTTATTCTGAAGTTCTCAGCTTCTGTTATCTCACCTCATGGATCTTTATAAAAGCTTCACATACATAAATTATAAATTACAAATTATAATGGAACAATATTATGTATAAATGAACAAATCCACAAGGGCCGGGATGAGGATTCGAACCTGCATCTGGGAGCATCCCAGACACTGCCTTAATCAATCCTTGGCCCTTGTGGATTTGTTCATTTGATGCATCACGTTAGTGTGATCTCTGTGTGTAATATTATGTACAAATTGCAACTTCATGCTATGTGATCTTTGCTTTATATTTATTATTAACTTTTCTTTACACTCAGGACTCTACACTGTTAACATCTCACAGTCTTAGTGAGAGAGTAAAATTATGGGACAAATTCAGCGTACCGGTTGACCAAGACGCTGTTCGAGTGAACTTCCTACAACGGTGCCACAGAAAAAACCCTCCCTTCCGGTACAAAGTGAAACGCGCCCTCAGGTCGAGAATACGAGTGAGTAATCAGATGTTTGTACTGTAAATATCTATTGGTGTACTGTATGTGTAAAATATGCCAGTTGTATATTAGTGTACAGAGGTATGTCAAGAAACACAGACTATATAAAACATTTGTTCTAAGCATTGATTCACTTGGTCACTCCCTCAGACAATATCCATTGCAGTAAGGAGTAGCAGTGATAGCAATATCACCGCTACTCCTTATAACTAATAAATTTGTTGCCTACCTGGCTACTGCTACTATCAGTCACCAGGCGGCAGCACTGAACAAAGTCACTCGTATAACTCGCATCACTTTCTACAAACAACTCAGTAGCAAGAAACCCTTTTCATTAAGTTAGTTCATGATGAGACTGTATAATCTGTTGTGCAGTGGGGTCTTCAAATTGGAAAGTAAGTATTCAGTCTTCATCAGTGTGTAAAAACAAATTTATTTTGGAGATGCTCAAGTTCGGTGAGGGCTTACTGTACGCACCTAGTTGTGCTTGAGGGGGTTGAGCTTCTGCTCTTCTAGTGTGTATACTCTATGTAAAAGCAGCCCGTCCTCTTAAGGTTTCCCAACGTCAAGAAAACAGTCAATTTAAAGTGGTCTCTCCTAACCTACCAGAGGACCCAAAACAGAAAACGGGACAGTATGTCACTTTCGCCAGCCACTTTCATTTTCTAGTACGACAAATTTTGGCCTTATGTAACGCATACGAGCGAAATGTGATGTTCTTTTTAAGAGGACAAGTTGGTAAGAGATTGTGACTAAATAATAGTGAATTATACAAGTCTGCTAAAGTTTTTTAAATATTGCATATTTAAAAAAAATGGAAACTTCTTGGGGGGGCTATAAATGAAATCAGTAAAACAAAATTGTATTAATTGTTTTTTTCTAGGTGCCACTATCTGTCAAAGAGCAATACTCAGAACCGCCAGATTTACTTCTCCGCCATGGTCCACCTCAGCATCTTCTTCCTCCTGTTGTTGAGCATGAAACAGAGGCTTCCACTGCTACCACTGTACCTACATCCACTGCCACTAGAATACCTGCCCCCTCCGTGATGTCATACAACACAACTGTCTCATCTTGGTTATATCAACAAAACTGGAGAGGAAATGGCATGAAGAATGATCCTGTTGGTAATTCTGATGTGCTTCAAGATGGACAGGAAGGATCTGAAAAAGAAATTAGAACTGAAGACAAGAGACATGAAACCGAAAGAAAAAGGGCAACAAAAGAGGAAATGGATGAGGTGAAATATAGTATTGTTTATGTTTTATATGTGACTATTAATGTGCTGAATTTGAAAAAGGTGTGGTGTGCACTGTTACTCTATTATGTTATGATAATATCTATATTATAATATAGATATTATAATATCTACGGGCTCACCATAGCCCGTGTTGCTTGGAACTTTGTTCCAGGTAGCGAATCTTTAACAACAACAACAAACTCTCTTATGCTTATCTCTTGTTTTATGTTTCAGTGGCTGGCGGGACTCTTGTGTTTACAAGCTAGCATTGTTAAACATATGGCAAATAATACTACAAGTGGCCTAAGCAAAACTCCGGATAAACAAAGAGAAATGAATGGGCCTACATGTTTAAGTAGCAGCCTGGACACCTCTCCACCTATAGAGAGATCCGGGTGTATGAATGGAGACTTAACATCTCATGACCTGAGTAGTAAACACAGTAGATTTGCAGATCCTCGAAGACATCAGCCCGTTGTAAATAGTAATTTTCAACCTCCTCCAACATATCTACCTGCTAAAAAGGGAATATTAAAAAACCAAAAAGGAAAGTAAGTACAATACAGTATTTGCTTATTTTTATATACAGTATTGCGTGTGAGAGTGTGTGACACAAGACTCTGGTTCATCAACTATGCCATTTACATATACATTTGAACAGCATGAGTCCTAGCACTGACCCTTATAGGACTCTGCTGTGACATCCCCATTGTGGAACCCCTCTTCCCTTCCATAATTGATGAGTAATCAAAACTCATTCTTCATTACTCAATTTCAAGCAAAACTTGTACTCACCTACTTGTACTTACTTTGGGGAGCCGGTCGGCCAAGCGGACAGCACGCTGTCCGCTTCTTTCACCCTATGCCCCTGTTACCTAGCAGTAAAATAGGTACCTGGGCGTTACTCAGCTGTCACGGGCTGCTTCCTGGGGGTGGAGGCCTGGTCGAGGACCGGGCCGCGGGGACACTAAAGCCCCGAAATCATCTCAAGATAACCTTCCCTCTTACTGTTACTCCATGTTTCATGTTCATTAGGTAATTCTTCACCCCATTAAGTACTATACCGGGTTACTCTGGCCTGGTTCTCTTAGCTGATACCATCATATTGAACCCTTGTCTTCAATTTAATACAAATAGATAACTTTTCTAGCAATAATCATGTAGGTCCAAATGGGTACCCTATAGTTTTTCATATTAATTGTCTTAAAATCTGCTGTGTCTATGCAATGATAATCCCTGCAATTATTGGGTCTGTAGCCTCTCAGTTGCAGACTTGACAATCGTTTAAAAAATCATTGGTGAGAGATGGGCACTGACCCTAGTGATATCTTGAAAACTATTAAACATAACTGCTCCAAAATTTCTACACACATGCTCCAATGCTAGGGATAATCACAGTATAGTAATACAGTACTGTAGTTTAATTAACTTTGTCAGGGGGACAGGAGGTCTGTGGATATACTTTAGGCTTGTATTGAGGCCCCCTCCCCCATCCCCCCCAAGGTGAAACTACTGACCCTTTCCAGGATGCAACCCCACAACACCTGGCTAATTCCCAGGTACTGTACCTATTTACAGAGGCATCAGGTGAAAGGAAATGGACCTAGCCATTTCTGACCCATCCGAAGATCAAACCCATGATCCTCTTATATATACAAGAGTTGTTACATTCTTGTAGAGCCACTAGTACGCGTAGCGTTTCGGGCAGGTCCCTGGAATACGATCCCCACCGCGAAGAATCGTTTTTACAACCAAGTACACATTTTACTGTTGAGTTAAACAGAGGCTACAGTTAAGGATTTGCGCCCAGTAAATCCTCCCCGGCCAGGATACGAACCCATGAGTTGTGAGTTAAGAACATGGTCACTACTACTGAGACCCAATTGAAGGTTGGCAGAGTGGGAGCCCAAATTAAAACCAGATCCAAAGTTTGAGTTTGGTACCAACCATAGAGGCCTCATCTCCCTTAGAACAAGAGAATGAAGAGTCCCATATGAACATAAAAGGGATAACGAGAGTGAGAGTGGGCTGCAAGGCCTCACACCTGGGTTGTTTCATAATCATCACCAACCTTGAGAACTGGGCAGTTGAATAAGTAGCAATCTTGCAAACAGGAAGACCTCTGGGCAAATCATAACAAGCCTAAACTATGGCCTCAAAATCCTCAAAAAACGGGGAAATGTTTCACCTCGAATACCAGCAACAGTTGTGGGCTGTGAAAACCTGAAGCCCAAGGTGTAGGCTTGCAGTGAACTACCACTTGGTAAGCCATCACCCATAAGTGAGGTTGGGCCAATACTGAGCTCCAGCAACAACACACATTGCACACCCAAGGAATAATACCCATAAACCCAACAGGAGGAGTGACAGAGGCAACATAAATGGTCGTCAGAGTCAAAATTCACAGAGGAACGTCTGGGTGGAAAACTTGTTACGTACTATCAAAGATACGAGGTAAACAGCCTCCTGGATGTATGGCAACTGAACTACCCAAATCAGACAAGATGATTGACAAATCTGCCAGGTGGTGAAATCTGTCTACACTAGGTGATGAGAAAAGGCATACAGAGACATGTGAAGAATGGAATAATCACTTCCTGCAACTCTCAATTGCAGACCTGATTATGGACGCAAGTCTCCAACTCCCACATGCGTCGGGGGCCAGATTCACGAAGCAGTTACGCAAGCACTTACAAACCTGTACATCTTTTCTCAATCTTTGGCGGCTTTGTTTACAATTATTAAACAGTTAATGAGCTCCGAAGCACCAGGAGGCTGTTTATAACAATAACAACAGTTGATTGGCAAGTTTTCATGCTTGTAAACTGTTTAATAAATGTAACCAAACCCGTCAAAGATTGAGGAAAGATGTACATGTTCGTAAGTACTTGCGTAACTGCTTCATGAATCTGGCCCCAGGCCCTCATGCCTGACTCATGTGGTTCATGTGAGTGCCTGACTCTTTTCTGTACTCAGTGCATTCTGTGGTCATTACTGCAGCCTGTTCTTATTAGATCTACTCCTCCTCCTTGTATTCATTACAGCACTCTGTACTCATTTCACTATCCTGTTTAATCACACTGTTCGTATCTTGAAATATGTTGGCCAAAGTTGGCTTTCTCAATAAGTGTTGTGTGGTGAACCACACTTAGTAATATCTGTCCTTTGTGGTTTCCTTAAAGGATTACATCGCCAAACATATTCCAAATAATTTAAAATTTAAAATGCTTGTTTCATGGAAAGACAAGTACTGTACATTATATCTAATTTGCTTTAAAAAGTACAGTAATATGTATTTAATAATGTTAATATTGTAATTGTTTCTTGTGACCTACAGAGGTGTTACCAATCCTGGAACAAAGACTCCCAGACATAAAAAGCAAACGGCTTCTGAAATACTGTCTGAAACCTTAACATCCTTGGCTTCCTCCCTTCAGAGCTCTATCACAGGAAAACAGGGTAAATAATGTATTTTATTGTTGGTATTGAATGAAAAATATGTGACGCGTAACAAGATAAATAGAATGAACATTTCGTTTCAGAAGTGGCTGCTCAATAGCTTCGTAGAGCATTAGGCGCTGGTACTACAGTAACATGAAAATGCCCCTAATAGATTTACCTTCAACTTGATTTCAATTAATTTATTTTCAACTTTCAATAGATTTACTGTACTTTCAACAGTAGGTGCATGTGTTGGCAATATATATATTGTAGTGCACAGTATTATTTTGGGGGGGTCACTTTAAATAACCAATTTTATTCATGATTTTTTCCTTCTTATCAGAGGTATCCCTGAGTCAGTTGGAGCGTTCAGTTGTCGATGTTTTGGCTTGGCAACGTTTAGAAGAGTTGTTGTGTCCGCCAAGTCCAGCATCCGCACCTATTGTTACTCAACCTCTCCCTGCTCGTGCTTTGTTGTGCCCGCTAATTCCTGACTCTCATCTTCAAGATTGGGCTGTCAAGTCCCCTACACCGTCCTACAGTTCTCAACCAGTGGCTATGACATACAGAATAATTCGTATTGGGAAAGGTATAGAATTTATCTTTGTGATTATTTTTTGGATATTCTCCTTTTATAATGTTCATTGCAAAGTCTTCTGTGTTTTTGATCTTAAAGACCAAGCAGCAGTTCAGAGTAAAGGTACTATTATTATTTATTGTGTTTCATGTTTTCCAGTTTAATATGTGCTTACCTGTCAGTGTTTACCTATTTGTGACTACCGGGTAATGAGATCCAGCTCTCTATTCCTGGCTTCCTATTACACCTGACACTAATGACTTCACTGAACATTTACATTTTCATCAATTTTTTTCTTAAAGTTGTGGATGAAAGTGTGATGCTGTGTGTATAGAGGACAGTATGGTATGGAAAAGCTTGTTGTCAATACAATAATATTGTTATTTAATAAACAAAAGGTGCATTGCTGTGATTGAAAAATTGTATTAGGCATTTCTTTAATTTCAAAAGCGTATTACTTTAGATAAATATTGCTGGAAGATATGCGTGAAAACAACTTAAGAGGAAGCAGTGATGTATCAAGTCCCTTGTAATAGAGGCTGTTGGTATAGTTTCAGTAGGACTTCTATAATGAAAAATTAACTACAATGCAGGTTGCAGTATACAGTATATAGTAAACTAACAATGCAGGTTGCAGTATATATTGTAAACTAACAATTCTGTGCACATACGTAAACAATTCTGTGTTTACATTTTGTGGCCAGTTGCCTTGAGAGAAAATTTTGTGTTAGGTAATGAATGTGAACATTATGTTATTTAGTGGGCAAGTGAAGGTAATGGAGGGACCCAGGTCACTACAGGCATGCCTGGCTCTCGTCCACTTTTAACCTCTCCTGAAGATTAATAGAAGAATTATGCTATGACCCATATATCAGATTTGAATACTATAGATCAATTGTATACTGTATTGTATAATTAGTCGTAATGAAATCCAATATTTCTCTTCAGGGAGCCATAACCATGTGGACCTCAATGCTTACGGCCATTGTAATTACATATCCCAAGAACATGCTGCAATATTTTTTGACGAGGTAAGATTCTGTATAATTTGTTGTAATAGCATTTTGATATTCCTTTTGTTTTCTCTATTGATGAGGTTATCATTGATGCTTTGTTTCTTCTCCGGATAACCTTCTCTTAACCCTCAACATGCGGCTATCAAATAAATTGTGATATCATCTGTGAACTCAAAAAAAAAAATGATTTTATAGAATGATACAGTTGCATAGAAAAAAGTAAGGAAAAGGCAAATTAATGACAAAATATGTAGTAAGTGTTTCTGGTTTTATGAAGTGTAGAGGGAAGGTGGGTGATGGGTCATAGTGTAAGGGGTTATCTTGAGGTTATCTTGAGATGATTTCGGGGCTTTTTAGTGTCCCCTCAGCCCGGTCCTCGACCAGGCCTCCACCCCCCAGGAAGCAGCCCGTGACAACTGACTAACTCCCAGGTACCTATTTTACTGCTAGGTAACAGGGGCATAGGGTGAAAGAAACTCTGCCCATTGTTTCTCGCCGGCACCTGGGATCGAACCCAGGACCACAGGATCACAAGTCCAGCGTGCTGTCCGCTCGGCCGACCGGCTCCCTGGTCGGCTCCCTGGTAACAAATGAAATTGTTAGTCACCCTGACACAGTGTGGGTCTCGGTCACGGGGTGCTTCCCCTACCTCGTTCGGTGCTATGATCCCATAAGGACACCATTGCTTCACAGGTCTTCGTGCCTCTCCTTGGTAGTTTTTAGGAAGTGATAAACTGATGAACTACGATGACGTGGAGTCACCCGACCACTGTCTCTACTAGTTTGGCCAACATTTAACACATGTATTGTCACTGGAGATTAATGTCCTTTCAGCCTGGCAGGTAAACACTCATGTCATATGAAGGGGAAACTACCAAGAGAACCTGTATGTAAAGAGATACCCACATCTTGCAAATTCCCCATGCCTAAGCCTCAAAATCTCATTTTCTAAGGAAAACAGGCCCGATTTTACTGAACAAAAACCTCTGCAACTGGTTATTAAAAAAAGGCAGAAAATTTGGTTTTAAATATGCTCAGTGGCTTTCCCAAGGCCCCAATAATTTCTTGTAACGTTGCTTCCATTTGTGAATGCTTTCCCAACATCCATAGTAAATCCACACATCCCCTGCATCAGGGAACTCTTGTTCATCGAATTGGGTAAATCCGACATGGAAAGTGTGTATGCCAACCAGAAATTCTCTGAATCGAGGTTCCACATATTGCAACTGTCTTGTGAATTGTTATGGTGATCCTTGAGCAGAGCTCCTGCTTTACTGCAATTACTTACCCAGTTTACTGACAATGGAAGGTGATGCAGGCGAGGAGTCACAATAACGTGGCTGAAGTATGTTGACCAGACCACACACTAGAAGTTGAAGGGACGACGGCGTTTCGGTCCGTCCTGGACCATTCTCAAGTCGATTACATTCTCAAGTCAAGTCAAATCGACTTGAGAATGGTCCAGGACGGACCGAAACGTCGTCGTCCCTTCAACTTCTAGTGTGTGGTCTGGTCAATGGAAGGTGATGCTATGAATGGCAGGTAAGGTGTGCCAACAGCACCTTGCATTCATTTTGGTTTACCAGTCATCATGTTGGTTTGTTTCATAGTAATAATGTACAGTATTTGTCTAGTTTAGCTGAAACCTGATTCTCATTCTGCTTCTGATTGGTATTAGTTTTGTTGCACAGATGACTTGTGTATTTCTCAGGAAAACTATATTTTGCAGGTAATTTGATTTTGATTATTTGGACATATCCTTATAATTTGTCATAGTGATATTTGTAGCTCTAGTGATATGTCCTTAACGGCGATGAATGTACTCGGTATTAATTCACAAGACTTAGAAATGTTAAAATAGTTTGACAAATGGGTAAATTGTAAGTTCACAATGGTAGTAGATCTTATACATCAGACAGTGTTGTAAAACATGTATGAATTATATGCAAGATTTTGGTCTAATTTCTCTACAACTGTGATTTAATGTGAGCTGTATGAGCTCAACTGTGAGCTCATCCATCTTGAGGTTATCTTGAGATGATTTCGGGGCTTTTAGTGTCCCCGTGGCCCGGTCCTCGACCAGGCCTCCTCCCCCAGGAAGCAGCATGTGACAGCTGACTAACACCCAGGTACCTATTTTACTGCTAGGTAACAGGGGCATAGGGTGAAAGAAACTGCCCATTGTTTCTTGCCGGCGCCCGGGATCGAACCCGAGACCACAGGATCACAAGTCCAGCGTGCTGTCCGCTCGGCCGACCAGCTCTTGTCCGCTCGGCTCGACCGGCTCCATCATTACAAGTCTTGTCTGGTTTCGCAGCCATGGAGACTACACTCAAAATAGTGTAGTTTATGTACAAATTATGCAATAATATGAGAGTTGGTTACACATTAAAATGTAGTTTTAACAATTTTAAGAATTAGTTTTAACAATTTTAAGAATGTACTCCATTTAAGAAATGGAGTACAAGCACAATAAATGTATATATACTATACAAAATCATAAAAAAAAAATTGTACAAAATAATTAGTACCAAGTTCTTAGGATACAACATGTTTCTTAACCCTTAGACAGCGGCTATGAAGAAGTAGTCATACCCGCTTATGCAAAAAAAAAAAATCCAACAAATAATTTTTCATTATGGAATTATTAATTTGTATGCAGAACGTAAGAAAAACATGAAAATACGTAAATAACTTATCGTTTCACTGGATGGAGGCACACTATAAGGCTGTGTCGGGCACTTATCAACACCTTGTGCTCAACTTTGCTGACACTTCCTGATTTATCCTTCGAAGTTTCACTGATTATTTTATCACTTGTTTTTCTTTATTTACATCTACAGAGCTATTATATCCATATTTGCATCATACATGCAAAACCCAGACAATAATTGTTTAAATCATCGTATGATGATGACCGCATTCTAATAGTAACATTCTTGATGATAACTGCATTTGTACCATGAAATGGTTATCTTGAGATAATTTCGGGGCTTAGTGTCCCCGGGGCCCGGTCCTCGACCAGGCCTTCTTTTTATTACACACCCCCAGGAAGCAGCCCTTAGCAGCTGTCTAACTCCCAGGTACCTATTTACTGCTAGGTAACAGGAGCATCAGGGTAAAAGAAGCTCTGCCCATTTGTTTCTGCCTCCACCGGGGATCGAACCCGAAACCTCAGGACTACAAATCCGAAGCGCTGTCCACTCAGCTGTCAGACCACTATTTCATTAGTAAATACAAATTGGTAGCCGGATTTTTGTTCATGGGTCAAGGTAAACTCCATTGAATTGAGATTGTCCGTCATTCTAGACTGGAGGAAGTAGAGTATTCTTTAAAAACTCGCCGGCATCTCTAATGACCGTGTAGCGAAGCTCGGGAATTCTTTATGGCATCAATGTCGGTGTGATAATAGAATGAGAACCTCATACATTTTGTTTGTATTTATATTTCTAAAAGAATTTGGAAGAAAGATAAGAAGATAATTCAAAGATAATTAGAGATGATATTAATAAGGAATTAGTATTGAGGGGAAATGCTGGTCATATGTTGCAATGAATACTATTTTAGTGGATGTTGACAAAAGTAAAAAAGTTTGCTGACAAAAAATAAGATTAATGGTAAGGTGTAAATAATTCATAACATTTAACATTTTTAAAACTATAATTACAATTATGGGCAGAGATAGGATAACATTTTATTAGATTAATGTTAAATTACGACTGTATTACCTGTTTTCTACAGAATACCGGGCATTATGAGCTTCTTAATTATAGTCCTCATGGCACCAGAGTCGACAGTGTATTATATCGGTATGATCACAGTGAGAAGACTGTGAATCATGCGCCGCCACCTCCACTTCTTCAACAAGTCCGAGCCATTATTAACCAAAGAAGAGGCCAGCTTCCAGACAGTCCTTCAGGGGAGGTCATGACAGATACTCCAGGACAAGTAAGCTAGCGTTCTCTCGCTGTCTCGTTCCTTCCATTCCCTTCTCCGACCCTCTCTGCAGGTCTCTGATATGCAGGCGATGAGTCACAATAACGTGGCTGAAGTATGTTGACCAGACCACACACTAGAAATTGAAGGGACGACGACGTTTCGGTCCATCCTGGACCATTCTCAATCGAGTTGAGAATGGTCCAGGACGGACCGAAACGTCGTCGTCCCTTCAATTTCTAGTGTGTGGTCTGGTCAACGGTCTCTGATATCTTTCTGTTATAATAGATTTGTTTTTATTAGATCCATGTAATCAGTTCAGTTTTAGCTGTTCCTCTGGAATCTCATTCTTTTTGGGGGGTTTCCTATAAAAGAGGATTATGCAAATTTCTATATTTTATAATGTTGCAGTTTTCAATTACAGTGGAACCTTCGTGTATAAATTTAATCGGCTTAAAAAATGCAACGTAACCTGAATATTAGTGTACTGAATCAAATTTTCCCGTAAGTAATTTAAATTGAATTAATTCGTTACACACATCCAAAAAATTAACATTAAAATACATTTTATCTAGAATACTACTAATTTTTCATACACAAATCAATAAGGAATAAATGTAAACAGTAAATAAAATAAATGAGCATTGAGGTACACTTTATCTTTATTGAGGACTCTTGTTGGCATATGGAAGACAGTGAGGAGGGGAGAGGGGGAAGGAGGGGAGACGTGTTAGTGTTTAGAGGGGGAGTCTCCTTCCATTATAACATCAGGCACTGGTGTATTCTATATACACTGTATTGTATATACACTTCTCTGGTGTATTCTCTCTCCTACATTTTGCAGGCATACCACTAGGACCTGGTTGTGGCTCACTGCTTGCTTGTCTTACTAAGACTCTGTCTAAAGACACTTGTATTTGCTTATGTTCTCGTATTGGCATCCTTGGTGATATTTAGCGCCCTCTGATTATTCCGCACATTTGATGGTGCTACATAGCCTTCCCGGTTTGGTGCCTTCTTTTGATAATTACTTACTTGTATTTGCTTATGTTTTAACAATTGTCTGTAATGATACATCACATTGTTATTAAAAAGGTTAACACAACGACTTGCTACAGTTTTATCTGAGCGAGTTTTTTCAGCAAAACTTTGCAGCTCTTCCCATGCTGCACACATTTTCCTAACCACATTAACCACACACATACTGTCTTCGTGTTCACAAATAATCTCTTTCTTTTCTTCTATCATCATCCTCACAACTATTTTCTTAGATTGACTTTACTAGTGAATTTCTTGGGACCCATGGCATGACAAGAACTTTGTGCTTTTTTGTTGATAACTTAAAAGACTATGAAATTGTTTACAGAGAATTAAAGCGCAGTTATTACTAGGCCAGATACAAGTATAAACTGATCTCACTGACTCACACAAGTATGAATGAGTGAGTCATACCCTGGAGTGAATGTTGTACACCAGGACATATTTTCCGACGATATTTTTGTCGTATGCCGGAAAATTTGTATTTAGATGCAATCGTACACCGAGGTTCCACTGTACCTTTGACTTTATGCATAAAAATTCTGGCAATTAATCAGTATGCATAGTTCTCTGGCAACTTTGACTTTATCACCGTGATTGCCTAAAAAGGCAATTATGTGAAAGCAATGCATGTCAAAGATGTTTCTTCAACCATATTGAATGTAAATAAGCTTGAATCACAGGCAGGCCCATTAAATTCAACAAAATTTTAAGTACGATACAATTAATTTCTATCAAGATGAGTAGGCTAATATGTATTGCTTTGTGTTTACCTCAGACATTATATCGGTGTAACTGTAAACTTGGGAAAAAGAAGATGGGTGGTTCATCCAAGGCAGCATCACCCAGCATCCTTGGTTGTGGTGGGTGGGAGGGCGGCGCGGTTCTTCACCACGGCTCACATCTCAAGTTTGGGTAAGTAATACTTTCACATATTTCACACATTTTTTTTTTATTTATATATACAAGTGTACATTATTGAACAGCCATTAGTACGTGTAGCGTTTTGGGCAAGTCCTTAATCCTATGTTCCCTGGAAGACCCCTGCGAAGAATCGTTTAACAACCAGGTACCCATTTTACTGTTGAGTTAAACAGAGGCTACAGTTAAGGATTTGCGCCCAGTAAATCCTCCCCGGCCAGGATACGAACCCTGGACAAAGCACTCGCGAAACGCCAGGCGAGTGTCTTGACCACAACACCACGGAGGCTGTAAACTTTATTGACAGGTCTTAATTATATGTACATCGTTCTATGGTTTCACCCTTTGCAGACAAACAGAAGTATGTGTAGTGGTCTGCTACTCTTTGGGATGCTTATGTGCGGAGGATCATAGAAATACCCATGTGATAGGAAGTGATTTTATTGTATACCGGTAATTATATAACCTTAAAAACCTGTTGATTTTATTGTGATTTATCGAAAAAGTTAAATGTATGTTTGCACTTGGTATGGTTAGTGCATGATAAGGATGATAGTAGTCATGATGAGGCCTTATTTAGGTCATAATGGTAACACCATGACCCTGGCTGTTATGTTGGACAAGTACAGGCCAAAATTAAAGCTGAAAAAGATACATCTTTATTTTTATCTACTCCAGATGCCTGCAGTTTGTGTTCAGTATTGTGGAAGAAGCTAGTAAAGCAGACTGGATAGAGACAACACTTAGTACATATCTTAAGTTTTTCAAACAAGAAGAGGAGGAACAAGAGGAGGAGGAGGCAGCAACAAAAATCAAGGAGGAAGTGGATGAGGACGAGGAGGAAGATGACGAGGACGAGGAGACGACACCAAGAAAGGAGGAGAAGAACTCAAAATCATGAGATATAATTTTTTAGTAATTGATATATTTATAACAAGTTTCTTAAGACTTTATAGTTGCCGTGATTTGTTTTTCACCAGGAGTGTTTATGAATAAGTGTGTTGAGTAAATAATATTAAAACAGATAGTATATGATTGTCTTTAGGTACATTAAGAAAAATAGAAAGATTATTTAATAGATTAAAAGTCCTAGGAGCCCTTGATGGGCTCGCATGTTTATTTTGAAAAGCATTGTATATGAAGACAATTTATGAACTCTTACAGTGTTGTAAAGAAAGACAAAGCTCATATTTTATTACTAATTATGACATAAAAGTGGCAAATAATCTGCAAAAGATGGGCACTTGTGTATTTTGTAAACAGAATCTCCAAGATTGAAGTGTTCACATAAACTCTAGCCCTTGTATAGAGTGAGTGTTGTGGTGGTGCCGATAATTCATACAAGAGTTTCCCCTATATTGTCTACCCTTAACCCAAGGACCAGTGGCAGCTCGGTGCACCAGCTCGGTACTCCGCGTGTTAGCATTGTCCTATCCAGATAATCCTGACGTACGAATGACTGGGAGGTTTATGCACAAATACAAAGTAGCAATGTAGCCAAGATGTCAAAGTTTTTAAACTTAGTACATATAATGTGCTGCCTTCTCTTGGTACGCTGCAAGTGTTTGGCTCTTTCTTACTACTGACCATCAGACCTTTCATCTGTTGGTTGCTTTATCAGCATTTTGTTATATGCATATTTGTAATTTTATCCAGGTTCTTAACAAATATGATGTTGGTACATGGTTGTAGCTTATATTTTCTGTACCAAAAAGCCACTGTGTTACCTAAAGCTCTCAATATTGAACAATCTATATGTATTTTTAGTGCTAATATATTATGTAAATGGTAATGTATATATTTAACTTTAATTCATGTCCTTATACATTAATAACTATTGTACATACTGTACAGATTTAATGATGTTATTTTATATTGATAAAGTAGACATTACTTCAGTATGCTGTCTTCTTACCTGTGACTGATGAGTGTGGCCAGACCATCCCTGATGAGTGTGGCCAGACCATCCCTGATGAGTGTGGCCAGACCATCCCTGATGAGTGTGGCCAGACCATGATGAGTGTGGTCAGACCATGATGAGTGTGGCCAGACCATTCCTGATGAGTGTGGCCAGACCATCCATGATGAGTGTGGCCAGACCATGATGTGTGGCCAGACCATCCCTGATGAGTGTGGCCAGACCATGATGAGTGTGGTCAGACCATGATGAGTGTGGTCAGACCATGATGAGTGTGGCCAGACCATCCATGATGAGTGTGGCCAGACCATGATGAGTGTGGCCAGACCATCCCTGATGAGTGTGGCCAGACCATCCCTGATGAGTGTGGCCAGACCATGATGAGTGTGGTCAGACCATGATGAGTGTGGTCAGACCATGATGAGTGTGGCCAGACCATCCATGATGAATGTGGCCAGACCATGATGAGTGTGGCCAGACCATGATGAGTGTGGCCAGACCATCCATGATGAGTGTGGCCAGACCATCCCTGATGAGTGTGGCCAGACCATGATGAGTGTGGTCAGACCATGATGAGTGTGGCCAGACCATCCATGATGAGTGTGGTCAGACCATGATGAGTGTGGCCAGACCATCCCTGATGAGTGTGGCCAGACCATGATGAGTGTGGTCAGACCATGATGAGTGTGGTCAGACCATGATGAGTGTGGCCAGATCATCCATGATGAGTGTGGCCAGACCATGATGAGTGTGGCCAGACCATGATGAGTGTGGCCAGACCATGATGAGTGTGGCCAGACCATGATGAGTGTGGTCAGACCATGATGAGTGTGGCCAGACCATGATGAGTGTGGCCAGACCATCCATGATGAGTGTGGTCAGACCATGATGAGTGTGGCCAGACCATGATGAGTGTGGCCAGACCATCCCTGATGAGTGTGGTCAGACCATGATGAGTGTGGTCAGACCATGATGAGTGTGGTCAGACCATGATGAGTGTGGCCAGACCATGATGAGTGTGGCCAGACCATGATGAGTGTGGTCAGACCATGATGAGTGTGGCCAGACCATGATGAGTGTGGCCAGACCATCCATGATGAGTGTGGTCAGACCATGATGAGTGTGGCCAGACCATGATGAGTGTGGCCAGACCATCCCTGATGAGTGTGGCCAGACCATGATGAGTGTGGCCAGACCATGATGAGTGTGGCCAGACAATGATGAGTGTGGCCAGACCATCCCTGATGAATGTGGCCAGACCATGATGAGTGTAGCCAGACCATCCCTGATGAATGTGGCCAGACCATCCCTGATGAATGTGGCCAGACCATGATGAGTGTGGCCAGACCATCCTTGATGAATGTGACCAGACCATCCATGATGAGTGTGGTCAGACCATCCCTGATGAGTGTGGCCAGACCATCCCTGATGAGTATGGCCAAACCATCCCTGATGAGTGTAGCCAGACCATGATGAGTGTGGCCAGACCATCCCTGATGAGTATGGCCAAACCATCCCTGATGAGTGTAGCCAGACCATGATGAGTGTGGCCAGACCATCCCTGATGAGTATGGCCAAACCATCCCAACACTTCCACTCAAAAGTTATCATGTTATTTACTCAGTTATTTTACGGGTGTCTGCAGAGTGGATGTTGTGGCTTTAAACAAACACAACCCCCAACACATACATTAATAATCATATAAATAATCACAGTAGAATTTTATTTGAGATATTTACAACATATAGAATACAGTGTGACGAAATAGCATCAAGAAATTTTGCAAACCTGTAAGATGTAATACTCACATTGATTGCATGTAGGAAATGTGATTTCTGATTTTTCATTGAAGGACTATAACAATACCGTTCACATTTCTGAGACTAACGTGAAGCCTCGATGTGTCGGTGATGGTCGTGGAGCGTCGTACCTGATAGTCACACGTCATGGTCTTTTCTCACCTGAAACTTTCATCATAAATTTGCTTGATTTTCTTTATTAATTTTAATTGGAAATTTAAAAAGCCTTAATTTTGTATTAAAAAAAAACAAGGCTGTGCGTTGATATCCATTTTCTATAAATCGTCGGGGAAACAAAAGTTCAATATGTTAAGTACGCTATATCTCCAAGACAACATGTAATGACTGTGCATGCAACTGAAATTTCTTTTAAGACAACTGATGGCAGGTTCATTTGAATCCTCATAAGTAATAAGTTTTTAAATAGAGAAACTGTTGAGGAAGATTGTACATCGTTATATTTTGTTTAAAACCAACAAGTATTGAGTAGACTTAATTGAAGATGACATTTTGCCTTCAAGGGATTTTATCAAATCTTATAAATACACAACGTCAGCAGCTTATAAAAGGAAAGTAAAGGTGGATGAAGAAAGGATTATTCAAGTAAAGTCTTATGTGTTTGACAATTTTTATTTGTTAACAGTTTAGAAAGTAGTAATTAGTACCAAAATATCCCCTATTCTGTTGAGTGTTAGTGTATTTGATAGTGGCCGATTTAATTCGGTACTTCCTTCTATTTTTATTTGATCTTTTTGATGGGTTTTATGTGAAGTTTGAGGCATTGCTCCTGCTTTGTGCGTGTGTGATGTATTGTGTTATCAATTAAGCACACGTACTGTACTTATGTTTATAAGTGTTTGTATGACATAATAATAACACTAAGAGTACTTTCATCATACATATAAACATAAACAGAAACTTGCAACTAGATTAGTGCCAGAATGGTGAGGCCTCAACTATGAAGATAGGTTGAGAAAACTCACTGTCACAGCCTTAGAGAAGAGAAGAAAAAGAGAGGATATGATCACTATGTAAAATATCTTGAGGGGGAATAAAGTGGATAATTGAAGCCTAATTTAAATTAGAGAGGTTGGACAAGAGGACATCAGTGGAAGCTAGAGATGTAATTACGGGCTATTCATGCCCATGCCACCTTTAGGTTGGCTTAAACTTTATTAGTCAATCTGTAGAGATGTAAGGAAGTTCTCATTCCCTGTATGAATGGTTGACAAGTGGAAAGTGTGAAGGAAGGTATTGTTGAAGCCAATTCCATCCACAAATTTAAAAAGAATTATGCTGAAAATATTAATGTTGAGAGAGGTAATATAGTGTGCCATGTATACATGGCTAGAAGGGGCATAAAGAGCTAGATCTCATTCTCCCGTAGTCACCAATAGATAAGCACACAAACCAGGAGCAAAGCCTTATGAACTTTAGGCCATAAAGGAAATATAAACAATTTGCAACCACAAAATACATCACTGAACAGAATCGAGGCAAGTTCAGAATTGCATTACCACATGCTAAATTGTTCCTAATCAAATATAAACTGAAATGTTTAAATCCCGCACATTTCTGGACTAGACACACCATTTTCTTACTTTTATAAGCAGCTGCCCTGTGTGTGTGTGTGTGTGTGTGTGAGTAAAATCACCTAAATGTAGTTACTGGATGAGACCTACACGTGTGGTGTCCCGTCTTCCCAGTGCTCTTTATCATACAGTATAACGCTCTGAAATTTCTGACGGTTTTGGCCTCCACCACCTTCTCACTTAACTTGTTCCAACAGTCTATCACTCTGCAACAGAAAACGCTCTATTTTTTTGACACCTTTGGTTCCTTAGCTTGAATCTATGATCTCTTGTTCTTGAAGTTGCTTGTTACAGGAATTCATCTTTGTCAATTGGTCGATTCCTGCTATTATTTTGTAAGTGGTGATTATATCACCCCTCTCTTTCTTCGATCTTCTAGTTTGGCATATTTAACACTTTTAGCCTCTCTTTGTAACTTGTTTTCAAGTTCTGGAAGCCATTTTGTAGCATGCCTTTGCATATTTTCCAGTATACTGATGTGTTTTTTGAGATATGGGGCACCTTACAATAGTTGCAAATAACAATTTTTATCTCACAAAAGTCATGAACAGTTTCTTTAATATTTCACCATGCATGGAAGTAAAAGTGATTCGGAAGATGGAAAGCGCAGCTTATGATCCTTGCAGAATGTCCTTTATGTGTTCCTCTGGTGACAGTCTACTATCCAGAACCAACCCTAGATCTCTTCCTTTGTTAGAGTTCTATAAGTCCTTTTCACATAACTTGTGTGCATGCGTGTGCGTGTACTCACCTAATTGTGCTTACGAGGCTTGCATTTTGGCTCTTAGGCCCCAGCTTTCAACTATCAATCAATTTGTGTACAGGTTTCCGAGCCTGTTGGGCTCTTATCATATCTACATTTGAAACTGGGTATGGAGTCTACCGCCATCATATCTATGGAGGTAGATATCACTACATCATATCACTTCCTAGTGCATTCCATTTATTAAGTACTGTAGACACTGACAAAATTCTTTCTGTCTTTGTGGCCTATGTGGGTACTCAGCTTGCACCTGTGTCCCCTTGTGTGAGAACTGCCCATGTTTAATAAAATGTTTTTATCTTGTCAATTTCCCTGAGAATTTTCCATGTGGTAATCATGTCTCCCCTAACTCTTGTGTCTTCCAGTGATGTGAGGTGCAATTCATGCAGCCTTTCTTTGTAACTTATACCTCTTAGTTCTGGAACTAGTCTAGTGGCATAACTTTGAACATTCTCCAACTTCTTCTTATGCTTCACAAGGTATGGACTACATGCTGGAGCCGCATACTCCAAGAATGGTCTGACGTGTGGTATACAAGGTTCTAAATGATTTCTTACACAAATTTCTAAGGGCAGATGTTAGCCAGCCTCGCATGCATCTCTGATGTATGTGTTTTAGATTTAATAAAAGATTTACAGACAAAATGTAATCTTTAATAAAGTTTTCTTGTAATTTTTCTGTAATGCTGTCAGTTAGTTCCTTATATTATACTCTTACTAAACCCTTTCATGTTCCAGACTGTAAACATTCTGGGCTTCCCTAAGCAGCTCACAAGCCACTTAGCGATACAATTTTTTTTTTACAATCATTTAATATTTTCTCTTATTTGTTGGGTTATGACAAATTTTTGTGTCTAAATATTTGCAAATGAATTGTCTTAAGAATAGATGCAAAACCAAAAAGTGCATTTATAACAGATCCAGGTTCTTTCCGTGGGTTGTACAACATAAACCTAGGGCGATCGGCAAGTCCTGCTTAGCGACGTTTAAATTTTTTTTAAATCATTTCACGCTTTCTCAGTTATTTCTTAGGCTTTAACTATAAATTTGGTATCAAAATGCTCACAAATGAATTCTCTTGAAAATAGATGCAAAAAAAACATTGCATTTATAATAGATTATACATGACAGTGATGAATATACGAATGTTTGTGAATAGTAACTAGATGACACGTTTTAGCATCGTTGAAACATTTACTCTTTTGATTATACTAAAATGTGTCATCGGAACGTGAAAGTGTTAAATTAATTTAATACTTTGGCATTCCAATGACACATTAATGAGTCAAAGTTGGTGGAAATCCATACAAATTTATTCAAAGCAGATGGAAAAGATTAGTATGAAAGAAAAGGATGAGAATAATATATATATATGCAAGAAATAAAGTTTCCAAATTCTAAATACAGTACTGTATAATCTTATATAAATCAAATTAAAGATATTTTATAATCAGTTAACTCATTTTATTAATATATATATATATATATATATATATATATATATATATATTTATTTATTTATTTATTTATTTATTTTTCATATTCAGTTAGTACATCATTTTCCTGCAATAGCTAAGTTTTCAGCAAACATTTTTATTCAAATTTTTACTAATTCAGCTATGAGAGAGGATAACATTTGATGTTTTTTATTTTTTTTTGGGTGGGGGGGGGGAGGGGTATTCATTGATCTAATTTTTTCCAATTGGAAAAAAATATTGGGAAATCGGGAAACGGCGTCGTCTCTTCAATTTCTAGTGTGCGATTTGGTCAACATTTTTCCAATCATTTTACAAAATCTTTGAATAATTGTTCCATTTTCTCCCATGTTAATTCAGCTATCAGGCTTATCCACTCTGACATTTTTAATTGAAGCCAGAGTGGATAAGTCACTTTCATAAATCTTTCAGGTATCCATCGTGATCATCCACAGATTGGGGCTTTGTGCTTTTCAGAACTAATTCCAAGGTTCAGTTACTTTATTCTTGTAAATCATGTGCATTCACAACATATTTTCTGTGGGGAGCCCCATTGGCTCCCTAAAAATATCTATACAGTAGTGATTAAGTGCTATACTACTTGGAGTCATCAGTCGCAGAATTCTCGTATGCCTTTCGGGGACCTCGAGCCAGAACCTGGCACCCTCAGAGGCGCAGGGAGCAATAGCCCATGAACACTTTACATTTAAAGTGTGTCATCTTGCCATCAACCAGGGAAGGCACCCAGAAAGGTAGGCGAATCACAACAGACTACTGCCTGGTTGAAAAACGTGACCTATGCCCTCTTAAGTATCAAAAGAACTCCCCTACCGAGAAATGAACAACCGAAACTTCGTTTAACTAACCCTACGCTCATTAGCTCCACCCCCCCACCCTTATTGGGAAAAAGGCTGCTGGTCCAAGTGAGCCAGACCGCCACCAGTCAGTTCTTGACTGATTTGTGTGCCTGTGGTCATCGCCTTGCTATGGCCACAGTTTCCTGTTTTGTTGGTGTTTTGCTTTGTGAGGCTGTTCCTACATGGAGGTTGGTTTGGCCGGGGATGCATCATGTGTGGATAAGTCCTGTAGTGGCTTAGCACCGTTACTTGCGGGTCACCAGTTCTGGTGAGTCGGTGGACACACTGTGGGTTGAACCAGTTTTCACTGGTTCCCTGTTCCTGGGCTCGTGTCACTCAGGTTGTCCACAGTGTCATCAAGTCTAGCTAGGCTGTGGTCTACCCTCGTGCGGAAGGGTAGGTCTATTCATGTGCGGAAGTATGCTGGTCTGTCAACTTGTGGTTTGGGAACATGTCTTGGGATGATATTCAGGAGCAGGGATTTTGGAGGTCTAACAAGGTCCTGACTGCCAGGTACCTGGTTAAATTCCATGGCCCCCCTGCAGCCTTATGTTGCTTTGGGGTGTCTGTCGCAGTCAATGGTCTCTTCGTGTTGATGTCTGTGGTGCTGCTGCCTCCCTGGTAAGCCTGGGTTTTTCTTCTCTGTGGGTAGCTAGCTTCAGGAAGCTGACAGGGCTCCCCACAGAAAACCAGCGTTGAATGCAGGCTATGAGTCACAACAACGTGGCTAAAGTATATTGACCAGACCACACACTAGAAGGTGAAGGGACGACGACGTTTCGGTCCGTCCTGGACCATTCTCAAGTCGATTGTGAATTACATTCCAGCGTTGAATGTAATGAAACGCCAGTTTCTGGGCGAGCCCCAGAGGCTTCCTAACACCCTCCACTCAGCGGCTTTTATCATTCAAGAACTGGCTGGTGGCATCCCAACTCGCCCGGGCCGGCTCCCGACACCTCTGTAAGGGGGGCCAGGTTCTGGCTCGTGGTCTTGGTAGGTATACAAGAACTCTCCGACTGATGACTCCAAGTAGTGTGCCACTTAATCATTATAGATAGCTTCGGAAAGCCTCCGAGGCTCACCTAGAAACTGGCGTTTCATTACATTCAACACTAGTTTTGTTTGTAGTTATAACCTAAGAAATTAGTTCTTTGTTATTTCACTGAGAATGTTTATGAAGGTATTGGAACATTAATAGGAAACCTGTCCACTCCAGTCATTATCTGTTGATCCACTTGGTGTGGGTTTATAACCTTTTCCCTGCCATCTTTACTTCCTTTATAAACTCCTCTAAAACTGTAATGTATAAATGTATAAACTTTTTTTTTAAATTTACATAGATTTTATAAATACTGTATAAAGTATATAGTTGTTTAAACAATATTACTGTTGAGTTTTTAATAATTCTGTGAAGGAAATTAGAGCCAGCTTTTTCAAAATGCAAAGTACTTTTTTGCAGGTTTTATATGAAGAAAAAACAAAAATGTTTGTAAATAATGCAGTATTAAAAATATAGTACATACATATTTACACTAACTTATCTAAACAGCTAAATTACATCAAACAAATGACTCTCTTTCACTGTTTCTTCATCACCTCCTGTGAAGTAATGAATTATTCATCTTCTTTCAGTTTCATGTCCCTTATCCTTCCACATGTGAAGTTTAACTTGTCAGCCTTTAGCACTTTTTGGTTCATGTCACTTCATGTCCAACTTACTTGTGATATTATTGTCGTCATCTCATCTGTATCCATTTCTTCTCGCCTCATTTTTTTTTTTTTTTTTTTTTTTTTTTTAGAAAATTAATGTATTGACTTCCTTTCTAGGAAGCTAATTTCAATGTCCACAACAAAAATTGGATACAGCTGGATATTATCACCTATTAACCATGACCTACTTTTTTTCCCTTTGTAAATAGAATTTAAGTTGGTGGTTGCTCACAACTGTCATTATATGACTTAAACTTACTGAATAATGAGCAAGTTACATTGCCTTGATAAACATAGAAATATTATTTATTTATGTTAGTGTTCAAAAGAAAATATTATAATTTTACTTTAAATCAGATCTGCCGATAAAAACACGTACACATATACAGTACTGTATATGTACACACACACATACATACGTATGTACAGTGTACCTAATAGCCAGAGTTGGCTAAAAATACATTTTTAAATGTTAAATTTTCCACAAATTTATCTTATGGAATAACATTGCTTTCATTAAAATAAACATGATAGATATTTTTGTTTAAATCGAGGTCAAAACTAACATAGGAAGATGACCTATCCTAAATGTACTGATTATTTCCCGGCACTGTACTATCCAACATATGTAAAAGTAGCAATAAGTTAGAAATTCTTAATGTTTGAGATTGAACTGATCTTGAAAGAAATATCTGAAAAGTGTAAAATCACAGTTTATTAGGCAAAATGGGTTTTGCTTACTAGGGGCCAAGTAGCACAGTTCTGCCTATTAGGTACAACACACACATGCATGCACACACACACACACACACCCACACATTTGATTGACGGTTGAGAGGCGGGACCAAAGAGCCAGAGCTCATCCCCCGCAAGCACAATTAGGTGAGTACAATTAGGTGAGTACATTCACAAAGAGTACTGGGAAGACGGGACACCGTGAGTGTAGCTCTCATCCTGTAACTACACTTAGGTAATTACACACACACAGGTGGGACCAAAGAGCCAAAGCTCAACCCCCGCAAGCACAACTTGATGAGCACACACTTTAATAAGCAACCAACTAAAGGTAACAATTATGTTCTAAATATTAGCTGTATTTACCAAAATCATGACAATAAAGAAGTGTAGTTTGTACATAGTTTCCTATATCTTTACACTAAATTAGTTACAGGTAATTTCTGGCTCACAGTATGAAGTATGTGGGAATAGGTCAGGTACTTTTGTGGCTTACCATAGCTTTAATCCAAGTTACCTCTAAAACAAAGACAAAATTAAACCACTTTGATGACCAATACAATGAGTGATGTGTATGTCAAATAAGGTACAAAATTTAAAATTTGTGTTTTAAATTGTTAATAGTTTTGAGATTAACAGGTGCCAAGTGCTGTTAATCTCATATATACAGCCAGTATGATGGTACCAGTGCAGGCGAGGAGTCACAATAACGTGGCTAAAGTATGTTGACCAGACCACACACTAGAAGGTGAAGGGACGACGACGTTTCGGTCCGTCCTGGACCATTCTCAAGTCGATTCGTCGACTTGAAACGTCGTCGTCCCTTCACCTTCTAGTGTGTGGTCTGGTCAACATGGTACCAGTGTCCGAAGAGGCCACCGATCCAGGTAATTCACAACACGTTAGTAATCGTGTGCCTGGTGGTGCCGAGAGGGCCTTTGTTACTTTATGACAATAGTCAACCATTTATTTACATATAGTGCATTCAAAGTAACTGTCAGTGTTATACCTTTTAACTGGAAAGTATGAAAGGAAATCATTTATAATATTTTCTTTTATTATTTGCAAATAAAGAATAATTTTCTCACTAACCATAAGCATAATGTTTCTAAAACAATCAAATTTTATTGTATGAATTTCAGTAATTTTGGGAGGTCCTAAGAGCCTTCAAGCCCAAAATAATCTCTCTCTCCTTGTTCATCTAATTTTTATCCCTGTATTTCCATCTCATATGGTGTCACCCCTTTCTTCTTATCCTCCTTCCCACCTCATTCTTGGGTATCACACTACAAGTACAAAGTGGAGACCAACTGCTTTAGGCACTCAAGGCTTGTTTATATATTTTTGTCAAATACAGTATAAATGTTCTCTGTTAAATAGAAACCATGTTATTAAGTAGTTGGTCTTCATCCATAATATATTAACTGTGCTGACAAAGCAAACTTATTAACGGTGTGTAACCTGAGAATTGTTTTCTGTAAAATCTGACCGATTTGTTTAATCTGCCATGAAAAAAAAATTCCGTAAAGTCGGCAAAATATTTAGGTTTGTAATACAAATGTGGTACACTTCCTTTCCCTGTTCAATATAACAATATGACTTGTAGCCAAGATTTTCTTAGTCTACATGTTCTTAATGCATTATGAAACTACCTTGTAAAATTTGTCTGTTTAAGGCTAATATAATTTATTACTCACATAACTCTACCTGTAATTATTAAAAGATTTTCATTCTCTATATAAACTTAAAAGGATAAAACAAGCAATGTATGATTACTTATTATTAACATAACAAATATGGTTAAAAGTTATTTTAATTTCCTGATTTTATTTCTTCTATTGACTAATTTAACCTTGGCTTTATATAATTAAATCCTGAACAGTTAAAGATTTATGTTTAACATTTGCAGAGTGTTTCATGATGTTGATATTCTTCATTACGATCCTTAACTTTTAGTAACACTTTAGGGATGATGAACCGTGTTTGCTCTAAGCTATGTTTTACTGATCACTAAGATCGTCTGCATAGGTTCATAATCCTTCACAGTGTTGCAAAAACATCCAAACTTTGTAATGAATTCCCAACCCAAGTTCTCTCTCACTTGCCTCAGATGAAAAGGGAAAGGTCTCAATCTTATTACTTAAGACATTTCCTCCTTGGGGTTCAGAAACTATCTTTCAGCAAATGTGCATTTACTGCTTTTAAATATACCTGTAAAATAAGCGTTATTAAAGTTTAAGGGATGCCAATATATAAAATACATGTAATTGTACAAATATTAAATACAATAGCTTCAAATATTTTCCAAGCTCGTTTCAAAAGGAACATTTTTTTTGTATGTGTACAGTATATGTAAATGAAGGAGTGTAATTCATCTCAAGAAGCTAGAAAGTGTGACAAAGTTACAGTGGCATTCTTCGGCCATTTTGAACCAGTGTAGAAAATAGGAAAACATTTTTTATAATCTAACATGTTGCTATAGAATGTAGAATCGTGTTAGGATTTAGCACAATACACTATGTGATCATTTGTTGATTATTTTCTTTCCCCTTATAAGCAAGTGAAAACATAAGCTTAGCATTACTTTTCCAGTAAATATGGCGTTATAATGAAAGGAGGACAGCACAGGTAGAGGGAGTTCGCTCTCTACACTATACACATCAAGTTACTTCATGCTATACAATTTATTACTCATACATCTATACATGTATGAGTATAGATGTCATACATGAGTAATTTATTACTCATACATCTATACATGGATGTATGAGTAATAAATTACTCATACATCCATGAGTAATTTATTACATTACTCATACATATAAATTTATTACTCATACATCTATACATGGAAAAGCAGAAATTAAGTATACAAAACATAAGTAAATACTCATAAAAGAAAAACCAGCCAGGATGGCTATATAACACTGTATGATACAGAATATTCAAGAGTTCCTAGATTTTCTAGATTTTTCTAGAAGATTTTCCTAGAAGAAGAGTTTTCAGAATGAAAAAAATGGGAGTAGAGACACCTAAGATGAGAAATATCAAAGGATGTACTGTCACTGAGGATTTTATCAAGGGACAACTGACTCAAATATACAATGAGAAAGTAAAAAAAATTTATTCTGAATATCAAGAAATTTTCTAAGGCAGTGAGCAATTGTTAGATAAACAAAGCACTTTTGATAGTTTCATTACATACCCGCGATGTTAATCTTGCATGCGTCCACAAGTCTTGTGTGTGCCCACGAGTTAATCTTGCGAAGCTCAAATGCAACCTAGCCTGAGACATTTTACACTTCCCATTTTGGTGCCAGGAGGAAAGTCACATTTATTAATACAATATATAATTTGTTATTAATAGTACAGAGCACTACTTGGTTTCCGAACTTTAGTTATCAGAAAGTTCCAGGACTATTGCTAGTGTATGGGATGATATTCGCGATCAGGTAGTGATGAATTCTCTGGGGTACACTCTCTGGCACGTTTTGCCTACATACCACAAGGACCTGCTTGTGGCTCTGCTTGCTCGTCTTACTAAGAATCTGTCTAAAGACACTTGTTTTTCCCTACTTTTAACACTTGTCTGCAGTAAGATATCGCATTGTCATTTAAAAGATCAATGCAATGGCCTGCTACAGCTTTATCTGGGTGAGTTTTTCAACAAAATTTTACAGTTCTTCCCATACTTCACACATTTTCTTAATGAGGAAGGGACATCCTCTACTGCCTCTACTCAAAACTATTGTCTGTGGTTGAACCTTACCACTGACTTTTTTGAGACCCATGGCAAGATATATAATAATTACTGTTAAGTTCAAATACCCAAAAATCCAAAAAGCACTGAAATTCTTTACAAAGAATTCTGGCGCGATTGTCACTAAGCAGGAGCCACTGGTAAACTGAGGCACGATCACCGTGCCACCACACGCTTGGTCAGCCCATATGCGTATCAACAAACTCGTTTCCCGAGGCAAAGTTCGTAACTTGGGCTTGTAACCCAAAAAGTTCATAAATAGAGGCATTCATAAGGGGAGGTGTCACTGTATTTAGCACTACAGTACTTTTATTTTGATAAACAAATACCGCAAATAGCATTGCTTTTCAGTAAATTAATAAATGTTTTATTAGTAACGACTTTTTACTTTTATTATTCGAGTTATTTATGTTTATTTCTGAGGTAAACTTAAATAACCAGACAATGAGTCACAATAACGTGGTTGAATAAATGATGACCAAACCACAACTGAGAAGATGGAGAAGCGACGTCATTTCAGTCTGCAAGAGTAAACTTAGATAAGCTGGAAGCTTTTTATATCATCTTATGTTCATAAAACATAAATGGAGGCTGATACCTGGATAACTGTGACAGTAGTAGGCATCCATCAGTCACAGGAGACTATGGAGTTGCACTCTCTGTCTGGAGTGGCCTCTCCAGGGGGCAAAGCCTGGGTAGGTTGATACGGGGAAGAAGCTGTCACCCATGCAGCAGGGCCCCCCTCTCCATGGCACCGAAAATCTCCAATGGAACGGCAAATGCCAGTAGGATTAGTTTCAGTGCCATTGCAGGAACTATCAGAATGAGGTAGAAGGCAACAATGAACTGCCCTAGGGGCTCCAGCTCTACGAGTTTACCTCGAAGTTGGTAAAAGAAGGCACAGGGACAAATCCACAAGGTCCGTGATGAGGGGTTCATTTGATGAATCACACTATCGTGATTTCTGTGTGTAAGGCACAGGGATTCCAAACTCGGAGACTGCCTTGGTCGGGGCCGGAGAAGAACCACCCCAGCAAGGGCAAGAACGACCCGTCTCCTGAAGTAGAGCTTGGGCCACACAAGCCCCAGGAGGTGGATGACCGAGTCCCGCACCTACGAGTTCCAAACAGAGATCGTCACGCCCCCCCCCCCCTTTCACCCGAGACCGGTTTCCTTTATGCCCTATCAGAAGGAAGAATAATACTGTACTGTACTTATTAATTACAACAATTATTATTATAATTAGTATAATAATAATACAATTAATTAATAATTATTACTCTTCCTTCTGCTGGGACATAACAGGAAATATACTGTATTCCAGGATTAAAATATACACATACATATTGTATAATAATAATTCTCTGCATTTGTCTTTACCTAATCACACCCCACTGGTCACGAGTGTAGCAGAATCATCCTGCCTTGCAACATGCTCGCCATCTATGGCGGACAATAATGTGGATAAATGTTTTTAAATTAATCATAAAAGACTGATAATTTCTCAAGGAATGAAACTTTCAAAATGATGTACAATTATTTATTTTTACAACATAACCTTAACAGTTCCTCATGGAACTTACCAGAAGTCTTACTTCTTACAAGACATATTGGTAACTGATTCATTTCTTTCAGAAGATACTGAAGTCTTTGAATCCATAGGAAGCATCCTTTTTCTTCTTCTGTTGGCTTGCTGATGCCTGGGCCTCTTCCCTCCTGAAAACACAATAAAAATCATTCCAAAAGCCTTTTTAAGACGTAAAATATAAAACAGGAAGGTAGTAAAACAAAAAGTGATGAATGTAATGCAACTCCAATTTCTGGATGAGCCCCAATGTAGCTCCCAGAAGCTATCTTGCCAAGATAGCTTCATCTTGGCAAGAGGCAAATGGAATTCAATGTGAATAAATGCCAAGATGGCTCCCAACTAGTAGGTCACATCAGCCACAGACTTCTGTTGGCCTACTGGGGACCAGAGCCAAAACCTGCCCCTTGCCCCTTCAGAGAGGCACAGAGAGTGCGTGACAGAGGCAAAACCTGCCCCTTGCCCCTTCAGAGAGGCACAGAGAGTGGGTGACAGAGCCAAAACCTGCCCCTTGCCCCTTCAGAGAGGCACAGAGAGTGGGTGACAGAGCCAAAACCTGCCCCTTGCCCCTTCAGAGAGGCACAGAGAGTGGGTGACAGAGCCAAAACCTGCCCCTTGCCCCTTCAGAGAGGCACAGAGAGTGGGTGACAGAGGCAAATCATGACCTACATTCAGAAACCTATTTCTTTTCATTATATATTAGCATATGGACATTTGTAAATACATGTATAAGTACAATTTGAATTCAATGTTTTAATAAAATAAATATTCAATATAAAGAATAATGAGAAAATGAGTAGGAGCCACGAGAAGGAATTAAACCTGTACACTGGGTACTCCCAAGCACACGCTCTAAACTACTTGGCCATGCTCCTACTGATTTCCTCATGTTGATATGAATTCTTGTGCATGAAGAATAATCATGTATTCCCTGAAAGGATTAATTAAAGGATCAGTTCAGCAAACTACAGACATTTTGCAAACTTATTCTGGCAAACCAATGCAAAGTGGCCGAATCGCGCCACTGATTATGCATACTGTACAGTCCTAAGATACTTACGACACTGATGCAACAGTGAAGTCTAAAAATTTTCCGACTCCAGGACGAAACACCTTAAGCTGATCATCTTTAATCTTGGGTCGTTTTCGGCTTTTCAACTCATCATCTTCGGCTTTTCGTTTTTCCACTTCAATTTTTCGTTCTTCTGCCAACTAAGAGGTAAATTTTAGATTAACTTGTACAGTACTTTATATAAATTTGGAAATGATTGTAACTGTTGAATGCACCTAAATTTATGCTTTTGACATCAGAGTATAGCTAATCCACATCCAGTACTAGAATTATTAAAACTATTTTATTTAACTTTTGTTGGTAATTTATGTAAAACCACATGAAAATCCATATAACTATACAAACAAAAATAGCAATGTCACATTTATGGAACAAATTCTTTATTGAATTCCCTTACTACAACTGTATTTTATAGTGAACTTTATCTGGCAGTGTACTACATATTATCAGTGTTCAATACTCATTTTTTGTTTGTGTGCAATAACCTAAATGTTATACTGTATGTATTTTGATTTTATAATGTTAAATATTATTTACAAAGTACCTAAAATTAATTAATACTAATTTTATTTTTTTTAAATTCTGGAATTTTTTCATTGTTAAATTGAAGTCCCATACTGTGTTATACTGTATAAATATTTTTGGTAGAAATCATACGCTTTCAATCACTGTTAAAAGTTCCTTTTAAGCAGAGACATTTGTATGCTCCCTAAGGTAAGAAACCACTCTGCCACGAACATGACAGAGTGTGTGTTGTGTACATGCTTCATACTTGACTGGTTTTATGTACAGTATTTTGATTTCACCCATCAGTGTTAATGACATTTAGACCCCTAGCAGTTTAAGGGTTAAATATCATGAGAAACTCAATGTTTTGTGTTATACTGTATTAATGGACTTCCATTAACTAACCTTCTCATCAGCCTCCTTAAATGGGTCCACAAAAATTGATGCCTCTTGAAGCATGATATCTTCAATAGGAGTGTCCTTGTTGTCAGTTTCAATGGCTTCCATGGCAGACAGTGTTGCTAAACCTCCTACCACACGTCCAAAGATTGTATGTTTGCCATCAAGGTGAGCACATGAGCGATATGTAATGAAGCTGAAAAAAATTATGTTATATATAACCACAAGGTTAAATAGCATATTTATCACTCTGCAAACAAGCAGACTATATGCTATTTCCAACAAATATCACATTTATATATAAGAGTCTATAATTCTAGCTGACAGCTCTCATTCTGGGTGTTCCTTATATGATTAAGTAACTGAGAACATACAATAACTCACAATTGACTTTTGTTGGTATCAGGTCCCGAGTTGGCCATAGAGAGTACGCCTCTACCCTTATGAGACAGGTTAGGGCGAAATTCATCCTTAAATGGCTTTCCCCAAATAGAATCGCCACCTTTTCCAGTGCCTTCTGGATCTCCGCCCTGTATCTAGAGTATAGAAACATATGACGTTAGCCATTACTTTTCTCATAATAAGATGAACATGATACTGTATTACAAATCATAAACGTGTATGTTCTGCATTTTCTAGATGTTAATATCTGACTTACACACCCTACCCTGCCACATGATCAATGCAGTTTATCACTGACCAATTTCTCAGTAATTTTTTGTTCGTTTCAATCACTGCCATACACATGGCCCCCAAGGCTTAGCAAGCCAAGACCTCTATAACGCATTCACCTTTATAGTTATAGAGTGTATTAAGTCAGCTTTTTTTCCAACTCTCTAGCACAGTATCGCTTTTCCAGGTCTTCTTGCAAACTCTTCAACACCCACTTCATTCCTTCTCAACTACAGTTAATTATCTTTGCATTTCCCCCATCAACACGTGCACATTTTCCACCTTTCAGCTTCCTCATCAATGTACTCGTCTCTTCCATAGATATATCAACTGACATACAATGTCATACTCTTCTCACACCATCAGATACAATCTGACTTCAGATTGTATCTGAAGTCAGAAGATTGTATCTGATTGTATCAGAAGTGATACAGAAGATTGTGATACTTCTGTATCACAAGTGATACAGAAGATTGTATCACTTCTCACACCATAGGATACAATCTGATGGTGTGAGAAGGTTCACATTAGCACTGCTCTCATTACTTCCACTAATTAGACTTTCAAATATTCTCTCCACATACTTCTAATCCACTCCTCACCATTTACCATTCAGGTATTCCTATCTCTCACATTTCCATTTCCACTTCCAACTTCTGTTCCTCATTTTTCCTTGCACATCTTCCCCACAGCCACACAAGCCTGCTGCTCCAAGACCTGAATATGTGCACTCATCAGATCCAACCATTTGGGCTGGACGGTAGAGCGCCGGTCTCGCTTCATGCAGGTCGGCGTTCAATCCCCGACCGCCCTAGTGGCTGGGCATCCCATCCCATATCCTTATCCTGACCCCTTCCAAGTGCTATATAGTCTAATGGCTTGCTGCTTTCCCCCTGATAGTTCCCTTCCCTTCATCAGATCCAACACCATTTTTAGTTTTAGTGGAAGAAATCTTAGGAAGATGGGTCCCCCAGCCTAATCCACCCCCCATGAGGACACAGGGTTGAATGCATCACATGTTGTGTGGTGGCATTACGACATCACTACGTCTTCTATATAAGGCAGGAAATTAATTAAATTGAGCATTTAACGATTCTCTTCCACCTATATGTTTGAAGTAGCAAATATAATATAAAAATCTAGACTAATGTATGGTGTCAAGCAATTAAGTTGAAACCAGATGACTTACCATAAAATGACGAATGGAGCGGTGAAACTTAGTTCCATTGTAATATCCACGATCACAGAGTCTTATGAAATTCTCAGAAGTTCTAGGCACAGTGTCACAGTATATTTCCAAGTTCAGCACACCATGGTTAGTTTTCAGTGATACGTAGCCTGTAATGATGATACAGGATTTCAGCTGATTAAAATGTAAGCACAAGACCATTACAAAAATTAAACTGTAAAATGAAATGCTCTTTACACACAGAGCACTAACATGATGCATCAAATGAACAAATCCACAAGGGCAGTGACGAGGATTCGAACCTGCGTCCGGGAGCATCCCAGACACTGCCTTAATCAACTTAATCGTAGCTCAGTCGATTAAGGCAGTGTCTGGGATGCTCCCGGACGCAGGTTCGAATCCTCGTCACGGCTCTTGTGGATTTGTTCATGAAATGCTCTTTTTTGGTACAGTAGATGCCTTTGATACTTATTTGTATTTGTAATGCTTTCTCCCTAGTTACAAGGATGAGGTTCATTGTTAATAGAATATTAATACCATGATGCTGTTAAATCTTGCATTGCTAAATACAGTAGTTACCTTTCTTCTTAACTCGTTGATACCGTACAACGTCATCCTCCAACACTGCAGCTTCGTGCTTAGTCTCCACATCAACGGAGGTTGATGTAAAGCTTGCTGATACTTTTCCGGTTGAGTAGTGGGCCTGCAATAATGAGAATTCACTGAACAAATATTACTAAATCAACACATAAATAAATAATTAAATAAATAAATAAATAAAATATATATAAATATACTGTACATACCGATATATAGCAAACAAATACTGTAAGAGTTTGTTAATTTTAGTTCTAGTAACTCGGACCTTTGGGTAATCTCGACACAAATCTAACAATGCATAAATCATTCATTCATAATTATTACCCACTTTCCTTCAACTCTACAATACAAATGTCATCTAATCTAGCTATTTAAACTATCCGTTCTCCTTACAGCATTAAATTTATCTGCAACCCTTTCTGCAGCCTCCTCATTTGCATCGGTCTCCTTGTATGTGCGGTTGAATTCATCCAAAATTTGCTTAGTGTCTTGCGATACATTCTTCAAACGCATTGATGCATCTGAGCGAGCTTGAACTGTCTCTGTAATGATAAGATAAAAAGTCATCAATTATTTCCCTAATTAGACAGTGGTAAATTTAAAATCCAAAACTATATTTGTAAGCATAAAATTAATACAAAATACAGTATACCTATCTTGAGAGGTTATCTTGAGATGATTTCAGGGCTTTTTAGTGTCCCCGCGGCCCGGTCTTTGACCAGGCCTCCACCCCAGGAAGCAGCCCGTGACAGCTGACTAACACCCAGGTACCTATTTTACTGCTAGGTAACAGGGGCATAGGGTGAAAGAAACTCTGCCCATTGTTTCTCGCCGGCGCCCGGGATCGAACCCGGGACCACAGGATCACAAGTCCAGCGTGCTGTCCGCTCGGCCAACCGGTTCCCCATTAATAGTGTCATACAATAATACAGTATAATTAACAGTTGCAAATAACAACAAGATTTGACTTACGTACCTTCATTCTCAACCTTAAGGTTATTTATGATGTGATGAAAGCTGCTGATGTTGTACTTGCTTAGATCTTGTGGATTCTGAATGGTGATGAGATCTGCTCTGGTGATGATTTTGTCCGTCAGCAGCTCTCTCCAGTTGTTTACCTTAATATTCAGCTGCTCCACTGCCTGTCCACAACACACAACTATGCATTAAGCACGTATTTCAACGTTATCATTTCTGAGATTAAGAATTAGTTTACATTTGGAATAACTTACAGTAAACTTTCCTTAATCAAACTCTAGATGATGATAAATTCTGAACCAGTTATGATCTATGGGTTAAACAAGCTATCTAGATAAGCAGTGGAATGCTTGAGAATTGCTTAACAAGAAGTGTGAACCAAGGGTAAAATAAAAATATCACATGGACGAGGCAGACAATCAGTATATTTGAAGGTTGTTGTTTTAGATTCAGCTACTGTACTGGGAACCAAAAGTTGAAAGTAGCACAGTGTATGGCGAGCCCGTGGTGGACCTACCTGGCTGTGACTATTTAATTAGAACCTACCTCATAGGAGAAAACATTGCCGGTAGTTTTCACAGCTACGACATGTGAAGTGTTGGTGAGAGGCTTGTACAGAACGGGACAATGATACTCTCCGGTGCTGGCACGGTGAAAGGTTACCTTCGTCAGTTGCTTTTCACTTAGAGGCTGTAAATGTAATACTGTATACTGATCATTGATTTTAAGAACAATTTTTTAAATTAAATATACCTTGGTTATTTATTCATTTCAATGGAATAAACTTGCATCAAAGCACTGATTCACCTTGTGCAAAATGTAAGTTTTCTAGCATAATATTAATTGTTAAATATTGTATTGTACATTATGAATTTTACACTCCAAATTCAAGATTTGGCAACTATAAATATTATAAACAATGAATATGGTGTATGTAAAGCACCATAGACTACTATGTTATGTATTAAAGTAAAGTATGCAAGCTGTTATGTATTGTAGTTTAGAAATATGGTGTAATGGCATATGTGATCATAAGCTAAGAAAGAACACAAAAATTGCCAATTAGTGTATGTACCACATACACTATAAACCACAATCATCAATCAGTCAAAGGAAATCAAATTGAAGTTACTATAATGTTTCATTATTAAACCATTGTAAATTCCTTAATGTAGTATAACTAATAACGAACAGTTGCAGACCAAAGTTGGGTACTGCACCACCATGGTGCAGTACCCAGGCCTACTCCACCTCTCCACTACTTTTATGAATGAACACTGTTTTTCCCACTTTATATCCTTTTCCCTAACCTGTGCCTGTCTTCTCTTCTATAAAATAAAATGTTTATTCAGGTAAGGTACATACATACTGTACAAGAGATTTTACATAATTTGATCGATTTATAGATGGAGCTAATACATACAATGCCTAAAGCCACTATTACGCAAAGCGTTTCGGGCAGAATTTCTATTTCTTTTATCCTCTATTGTGTCACTTTTACGCTGGTTGAAGTTATCCTCACTGATAATGGTCTGATAAGAGAATGGTCCAGGACGGACCGAAACGTCGTCGTCCCTTCAACTTCTAGTGTGTGGTCTGGTCAACATACTTCAGCCACGTTATTGTGACTCATCGCCTGCTTATCCTCACTCTTGCCACTCACCATCACCTCTCTGATCATTCAAGTGGCTCCTGCTTCACTTACTTGGGAATCAAGAGCATGTACAATTATATGTGAATTGTTCACCTAAAAATCTTAAGATATATTAAATGTCTGGAGTCTGGAGAAAATTTTCATGTTTAATTAATGGGCAGTCTCTGGTATCAAAGAAATGAATGAGTTAGTAAGATAGCAGCCTTATACTGTATGTTCATGCATACCATATACAAATGACCTATACTTCTCAGTTACAGTGTACATGTTATTAACAAATTCACAAGGGGTGTGATGAGGGTTCAAACCTATGTATGAGACGTAGCCTTAGTCAACTGCACCACGACATGGTTAAGGCGCGTCTGCAATCATCCCGGACATAGGTTCAAACCCTCATTACGACGCAGGCGAGGAGTCACAATAACGTGGCTAAAGTATGTTGACCAGACCACACACTAGAAGGTGAAGGGACGACGACGTTTCAGTCCATCCTGGATCATTCTCAAGTCAATTGTCACTGTACATTGTCACAATCGACTTGAGAATGGTCCAGGACGGATCGAAACGTCGTCATCCCTTCACCTTCTAGTGTGTGGTCTGGTAAACCTCATCACGACCTTTGTGGATCTGTTCATTTGATATATCATGCTAATCACAAGATTTCTGTGTGTATTACATGTTATTGTTTATCTTAAAAATCTGTAACAGTTACACATGAATCAGATCAGATCAGAACAAACAATAAATCAAACGAATTATATTAAATGCAGAACTTACCTCACCAGTGACAGGGTTCACTTTGAACTTGCGCAAAAATGGAAGGATGGCTTCAAGATCATACACATTTCCATGTGGATCAATATATGGATGACTAAATGGCAGCAGAGAGAGAGCACAGTGAGTGAGGGGGAGTCTCCGAAAGTTTGCTTTTGCGCCTGTGTGAGACGAGGCTTTGTACCCACCGTACAGTGTTGACCACTCAGTTGAGGTCAGATACCTGGAAGCAAGACATTATCAAATGAAGACACTAAGCCGGGAAGACTATTTTACTGTACATTTTTATAAATTACCAGTAAAATATTGACATGAAAAGCAAGCAAAGCATCAAGATAAATTAAAAATTGGCTAAGAACAAAGTAAAACATGAGTACTGTTTTATAGCTGGAAAAGGTTTACTTTGCATTTACTATAATCAAACTGTTTAAGAGCTTAAAACTTACTGCCTGTAACTTTAAAATGCAGAATTGAATTGCCTTTTAAATTTCTCATTTGTCTTTCCATATTAGCTCCTATTAGGATACAGTATTATAAATGTAGAAACATGTTTGTTAATACAGTACTGTATTTCCGAAGTTCACAGATAGAACTAAATTCTACTCACGGCACTTCTGCTTGTTACAGCATACTATTCATCTAACTACCAAAAAATATTTAGAAGCCTTGTTAGTAGTTTTCTTACACTCTTTTTTTCTTACACTCGTTTTCTTACTTTTCTTAGTACTAACTTATCAACCAGAGGTTGCCCCCAGCAGGAGCAGAGTCCAGCCATCCAGCTCCACCTCTGCCCCGACTCTTCCCACCTCTGCCATCATTTCCCTGACAGCCCTACCCATGGCTATATTAAAATGCCATGGGAAACACTACATACGTAACTCACTCCAACACCTGTTCCAAAGCTTTCCTTTAATCTCCCAATTTATTCTAACATGTGCATCATTTCAATAATATAATCTGTATACAATACTGTATTGCAATGGAGCCAATAACTGCCTCCTTCTATATCATAGATTTGTGAAACCTCCCTAACATTCATTACCTTATCTTACCTTACCTTACCCCACAGTCTGGTCTATCCAGGCTGTGGGGGTAACCCTTCTAAAAATAAATGGTTCCACAGCCATTTCTATAATAACTAGCAATTTTAATATGAGCATGGACTGTGGTGATTATCACTCTGTGCTGCAGACTTTGGATGCTTCTAACACGGGTCAGTTGTACGTGGTACCTTCGACGTTGTACTAAATTACTACCCACTTATTCTCATGCAGCAACACTAGTTCTGTAAAACTACTTTCTCCATTGATTCAGTACTTAATTTTTTTTAAGATAAATGGGTTACATTTGTTTATTTTATAAACTTTATTCTCCTGTCAATTTTTTTTTTAATTTATTTTGAGTATATTTAATTTTTTATAAAATTCTCCAAATTTATTCAAAACTTACAATGTATAACATATGCCTCAACATTTGCAGTTTTCAGTCTGCGTCATTCAACATGCATCAAATTCAGAATAGTGAACAAATGGAATGTGCTAAGTTGTGGAGGCCAGCTCCATACAGTCATATATGCGAATAAGCCTGAATGGACCCCAGGCATACATGTAACTGAAAACTCACACCCCAGAAGTGACTCGAACCCATACTGCCAGGAGCACTTTGCAACTGGTGTACAGGGCACCCTATCCACTCGACCGGACAAAAGCTGATGGTAGCCGAGGCTATTTGCCCATCAGCCCGCCGGCACTCTGATGGTAATCTTGGGCATGGTATTTTATCAAATCACCTCATTCTTTGGGGCACACGTGAGGAACACAAATGCGAATAAGCCTCAATGGTCCCCAGGCATACATGCAACTGAAAACTCACAGTCATATAGATATGACAGCCCCAACAACTCTACAACCTATACAATAGTGGCTTAACCACTGCACTGCATAAAGTGCCTTTAGGCACTCTGAGAGTTGTGCTATTTTTTTTAATTAGGCTATATTTTAATGTTTTTTAATATATTCATTACATCATGTGTTTTGAAATGGAAATAGTCAAATTTGAAAACATTTTGACATTAACTTTACCTGAACATTTATAAAAACAACAAAAATATGCCCTTGACTTGGAAGTTTTTGCCAAAAACAAGTGCACAGTGTAGTGGTTAAGGACTGAGAGAAGAGACCCACAAGGCATTGCCCATCCTCAAAATAAAAAAATGGGAAAGTTAAATTTGTAGTACAACAACACTCCCAATATAACAACAACTCATTGTACTTACATTTTATCTTTCTGATGCTGTCGTTTCCCCATTTTGGCGGCTTAGAGTAACCTTTTCTATCTTAAAACAGTTCAATTGAGGGAAGACGTAAAATAATTGTCTTGCCTAACAGGTTACACAGCGCGAGGTCACTTTAACATGACTACCAGGCTTCACGTCTTGAACTGCACCCGCTCTACGTCTGGTAACGATAAAGATTGATAAAGATTAAGCCACCCAAGAGGTGGCACGGGCATGAATAGCCCGTAACTGGTCTGGTAACTTGATGACAGCGTATATAAGTGGTCATGTATGTCAGGTGGGTTGGTGGGTCATGTCAGGTGGATTGGACATGTATGGGAGTAGGATTGAGTGGTTATAAATAGGAACTGCCTCGTATGGGCCAATAGGCCCTCTGCAGTTACCTTTGTTCTTATGTTCTTATGACGATGTTAGCGTATGTTGGTCCAGGCGAGTATGCTGGTCACCTTATGTGGTCCAGGCGAGCATGCTGGTCACCTTATGTGGTCCAGGCGAGTATGCTGGTCACCTTATGTGGTCCAGGTAACGATAAGCACCAAGCAACAGTGTAGCCCTAATGGGTCCCGTTGGGAGGGTCCGAACGGGTGTGTGTGTCTGGGGAGACCCTAAATTATCAGAGTAGGGTGCTCCTGGCTGGTCACAGTGAGGGTTAGCCTTGGCTCATCTGTGTAGGGGAGCCCTGACAGGTCACTGTGGCTCGGGCTGGTCACAGTACAGGGAGGCGCTCGCTGGTCTTTGTTTTGATCTCTTGCTCGCTTATTTTCCTTTGTAATTTTCGTTTTCTTTGGAGAGTTTTGTCTGGCTAACTATTCAAATTTAAATCCAAACTATATTCAAATTTTATATACTATCTAATTTGAATACGTTTATAACCGTAAAATCTTACATTTTAAAGCATAAATTAAATAACATATTGATTATCATGTGAGTGGGGACATAAGAACATAAGAACAATGGTAACTGCAGAAGGCCTATTGGCCCATACGAGGCAGCTCCTATCTATAACCACCCAATCCCACTCATAAACATGTCCAACCCACGCTTGAAACAATTGAGGGACCCCCACCTCCACCACGTTACGCGGTAATTAGTTCCACAAATCAACAACCCTGTTACCGAACCAGTATTTACCCATGTCTTTCCTAACTCTAAACTTATCCAATTTATATTCATTGTTTCGTGTTCTGTCTTGTGTTGATACTTGTAATACCCTTTGTTATGTCCATTCATCTACTTGTAAACCTCTATCATGTCACCCCTAACTCTTCACCTTTCCAGTGAAAGCAATTTAAGCTTTGTTAATCTTTCTTCATATGAAAGGTTTCTAATTTGGGGAATTAACTTAGTCATTCTACGCTGGACACGTTCAAGTGAATTTTTTAATCAAGGTTTTGCCCGAAACGATATGCGTGGTAGTGGCTATACAAGAATGTAAGAACTCTTGTATAAACATATATAAAGATGTTGATATATCTCGCTATTGTGATTTCTGTGTGAACTATTGTATGTATATAAATAAAAAAAAACGCGCCATATATTTATAATCACAATCAGTTGTCATTTTATACAGCCTATTTCCAAATTATTAAATAATTTATTTTCATATATATGTTTTTAAAGTCAAATATTGAAAATATTTTGAAATTTAAGTCGGTATATATTTTCTGTCTATTCCAGATTTCATAGACAAGTGGTTTGTTTTGAAACGAACGTTTGGCGTCCCTCTGAGCTGCCTCCCAATTTTTGAAGGACGGTCTTTATCCGCAAACATCATGAAACTCGTACGGTTAGTAAGTCCTGCTTGCGCATACAAACTTGTAGCGCTTGTAACAGATGTTATATTCAAGACTTGTATGTCTGTATATGGCGAACTTCTTGAAATATTATCATAACAAGAATTCCCGGGAGTTTGGTTCCATTCCGCGGGCTTCATGGCTGTTGCTATCTCAGGTGTCTTGTGTATTTCCTGCATACAACACTAAAATCAATGATTAATTCGTGTAAGATAATTGTTAAGATGTTGATTATGTGGTTTATCGCATTAGTGAGGTGTTGAGAGGCGTCAAGAGGGGCTGAGGGCGAGCCGGTGTATTGGTGTAGTATTGTCAGGCATACAAGGTCCTCTTTGGCTAGTTCACGTCCCTCGCGCGGTCACCCATTCAATTAATAGCCACACGCAGTGGTGTTTTAAAGATTCGGGTAACCCATAGCTTCCCCCACATGGCCTTGAGTATATTCCATCATCTACAGTGTTCAGCTCCACTACGGGCTCACCATAGCCCGTGCTACTTGGAACTTTTTGTTCCAGGTAGCGAATCTTAAACAACTGCGGTGTTTACTCTGACCTGCACTAAAGTGGCCATTTTGTTATAGATTCAGCTACTCTGAACAAGTTCCAAGTAGCACGGGCTATGGTGAGCCCGTAGTGGACTTACCTGGCACAGGAGCAGGGCAAGTAGCACGGGCTATGGTGAGCCCGTAGTGGACTTACCTGGCACAGGAGCAGGGCAAGTAGCATGGGCTATGGTGAGCCCGTAGTGGACTTACTGGCACAGGAGCAGGGCAAGTAGCACGGGCTATGGTGAGCCCGTAGTGGACTTACCTGGCACAGGAGCAGGGCAAGTAGCATGGGCTATGGTGAGCCCGTAGTGGACTTACTGGCACAGGAGCAGGGCAAGTAGCACGGGCTATGGTGAGCCCGTAGTGGACTTACCTGGCACTGGAGCGGTGCTGTGTGAGTGAATTTCTGAAAAGTGACCAAGTGACCTGCACCTCATTTATTCACCCCAGAGTAATGCAAGAATATTCCGACTAATGAATGCTTGCCTAACCCCACGAGTGTGGATACCTTGCAGACGGACGGTACATTGCACTAGTACTATGTCTTGGGCTCCTAGGGTGTGGCACAGTCTTGGATACTCATTAATGGAAGTAAATTATACAAACAGTACAAGATAGTTTTCTATATCCAAAGGACATAACATCCCCAATTATGCCTTCATCATAATAGTTGTGCTTCATGTACTGGTTTTCACATAGCACAGCAACCTATTGGCCTGTATCCAAATAGTGAAGTGTTGCACATTTAGAGTGATAATGTATGCACTCTACACACACAAACCAATGGGAAGAGTCTTCAGGATATGATGAGCCCCTTGTGCTAACGATGTTGATGTACCCCATGTTTACGTACATTTATGCATATATCACAGCCCCCCTATGTGTGTATAAATAGTGCAGTGGAAACTGCTGCTTTTCCATCACTGTGTTCTGACCTTCAGAAAGTGTGCTAGCACTGAATTTCTGTAGCATGGTCTTGTGAACTGTAAAGGGCTGGGACGCCATACGACACGCTAGGGTGCCACCTTCCCGAGGGTAAAGTGCTGAAATGGTGAGGGTCATCTTGATAATGACATGTCTGGAGTCTTATCCATAGCTTCCTGGTAGCTGTGGGAGTATGCAGGTTGACTGGCAAGGTTTGCTTTGGCCAGGGGTGACATGGCGTCTCAAACTCGGGATTACTGAAGATGACGTGGCTGGTATTGGCTGCTATTTTATGGCAGCTCAGCGAATTACCTCCAAGTATGGCCTGGAGGGGGAAATACTCCTATAAAATGCCAGTTAAAGTTCAACTTCAAAATTATTACTACAGTATGCATTGTTAAATCTCCAAAGCCGTCATGTATTTTTATTTATTTATTTATTTATATAAACAAGAGTTCTTGCATTCTTGTAGAGCCACTAGTACGAGTAGCGTTTCGGGCAAGTCCTTAATCCTATGTTCCCTGGAATATGACCTACCTTGCCTTACCTTGAGGTGCTTCCGGGGCTTAGCGTCCCCGCGGCCCGGTCGTCGACCAGGCCTCCTGGTTGATCAGGTATCCTTTGGAGGTGCTTATCCAGTTCTCTCTTGAACACTGTGAGGGGAGAGGACGTCCGTGAAGAATCGTTTAACAACCAGGTATCCATTTTACTGTTTAGTTAAACAGAGGCTACAGTTAAGGATTGCACCCAGTAAATCCTCCCCGGCCAGGATATGAACCCAGGACAAAGCGCTTGCAAAACACCAGGTGAGCGTCTTAATCACTACACCACGGGGACTACTTAGACCCTTATTTAATGATGCATTGATAAAAATTCTAAATTCTAGATTTTGTTTTAGCATGCAGTGAGATGTTCCTAGAACTGACAGAGGTGGACTAGAATTCTTACTGGGCCAGAAAGAATTGGTAATTTAGTTTTTACAAAGCTTATTCTTATTTGTATAGTATTAAAATATTGTTAATTGGACTTTCTGTAGTGGTTATAGCTATTGCAACTGGCTATGTGCTTTTTCTGAGATTTTTACTCACTTTCCCAGGCTGGGGCCTGGGGGATGACGTAGAAGTTTTGCTGGTAAACATCCTTCATATGATATGTTGAAAATAAAATTTTGCTTAATAAAAGTTGCTCATAGAGAATGGAAAGAGAAAGAATAAATGTTATCTCCTATAACCCGTGGGGTACGCAGCTATTACTAGCCGACAAAAGCTCCAGTGTGCAAGCACTGTGAACATCATAAACAGCATTGTGTTCGCTGATATCTGAACATTGTGCACCTTATTAATCACTTTCAGGCTATATTATATTATCTTTGCAAAATAATAGCAGTTACATATGTATTTTGTAATTTTTAAGCGATGCTGTGGCCACAAGCTGAACAGTGGTGAGGTTATCTTGAGATGATTTCGGGGCTTTTAGTGTCCCCGCGGCCCGGTCCTCGACCAGGCCTCCACCCCCAGGAAGCAGCCCGTGACAGCTGACTACACCCAGGTACCTATTTACTGCTAGGTAACAGGGGCTTAGGGTGAAAGAAACTCTGCCCATTGTTTCTGCCGGCGCCCGGGATCGAACCCGGGACCACAGGATCACAAGTCCAGCGTGCTGTCCGCTCGGCCGACCGGCTCCCTGGTCCGGTGGTGCTGTTAGCTCGTGCAGTATGCACCAGCCTTGGTTCCTCACTGAGGCCTTCACACCCAGGAATGATACCATTGATTTTTTTTTTTTTTTTTTCAAATGGCATCTTTTTAATTTAAAATCTGTATTTTCTCAAGTATAAGGTAATATTTTTTCATATTAAAGTGCATTGAAGAGTTCATCCTAACTTAGGCTAGGTTAGATGGTTTGGTTGATAATTTTTTTTTTTTTTTTTTTAATACAAAGAGGTCTTACATTCTTGTAAAGCATTTCGTATATGTACAGTATAACGTTTCAAGCAGGTCCTCAATCTTAATTTTTCTCGGAACATGACCCGCTGAATCGTTTAACAACCAGGTACCCATTCACTGCTGGGTGAACAGAGGTTACAGTCAAGGATTGGCGCCCAGTTAATCCTCCCCGGCCAAGATACAAACCCAGGCCAAACTGCTTACAAAGTGCCGGGCAAGTATCTTGCCGTGTGCCACGGGGACTGCAATTGGTACAGTATTGGTACTTGCAGTACAGTACACGAAGCCTTTAGAGAGGTGCGATTCGAGCAAATGTGAATGAAACACCCCTTGAGACAGATACAAACATCATCGGTTGTGAGTCTTGTGCATAGTGTTTTTCATTCATAAACTGGGTTTGGTGGCTTGATTAATGATCACATGGCACTTGATGAGGGCGAGTTGAAAATATGACATGACATGACATAAGGTCGGCCAAGCGGACAGCACACTGGACTTGTGATCCTGTGATCCCAAGTTCGATCCTGGGCGCCGGCAAGAAACAATGGGCAGAGTTTCTTTCACCCTATGCCCCTGTTATCTAGCAGTAAAATAGGTACCTGGGTGTTAGTCAGCTGTCACGGGTTGCTTCCTGGGTGTGGAGGCTTGGTCGAGGACTGGGCCGCGGGAACACTAAAAAAAAAAAAAAGCCCCGAAATCGTCTCAAGATAACCTCAAGAAGGTGCCTTACCTTGTCTGAATCAAGTCATGTGATGTAAGCCATCAGCTAAGGGTTAGAAATTGTACCAGGCCTCCAAGATTCATATTCACCTACTGGGTACCAGAACCAGAATTCTGGGTCCTTGTTCATGGTTACACAGATAATCACAGGTTTCAGGCAGGTCAGCTTTAGCCCCAAGTGTGCCAGTGTCTAAGCTGTAGGGAGCCACTGAGGGAGCCTCCACAGAGGGGCATTTCATTGTAATCAGTGCTCTATTTTTGTTCTTCAATAGATGCATATTCCAAGCTGCTGCTACATATGTTGACCAGACCACACACTAGAAGGTGAAGGGACGACGACGTTTCGGTCCGTCATGGACCATTCTTAAGGAGAATGGCCCAGGACGGACTGAAACGTCGTCGTGCCTTCACCTTCTAGTGTGTAGTTTGGTCAACATACTTTAGCCACGTTATTGTGACTCATCGCCTGCTGCTACATATTCTTGGATTGATCTAATGTAGGCTGTGTAAATTGTCTACAAAGAAACAGTTTTTAGGCTTTTAATGCTTTCCTAATGTCCATTTCCTCAAATGCTGCTGATGTTATCCTATGTATTTGCATGTAATCATCTTATGTCTTAGGGGACCTTAAATATATTTACTTCACTCTTCCCATCTAGGGTGTTGGTTGCTTTACCATCACGAACATTCAATTGACTCTCGACTATTAGAATAACTACAATAGAACTCTTGATATTATATACCCGAGTACCTAGCAATGCCCGGGTCTCTACACATACACATTTCCACTGAGAACCCATCTACCTTTGATAAGTCTTACGTTATGAACTCTGTAAACTTTCTTGAAAGTCTGTTCATCGTTTAGGTTCTCAGACTTGATCTATTACAGATAACTGATATATAAATTGCAATACAACTGTACAGTATATACCATTGTGCTTTTATTTATATTTTGGGAAGATAAAAATTTTAGAGATACCCAAAATATATTTAATTGGTTTACTCAAGGAGTAGCGTCACATTTGCAGTATCAGAACTGACAGTCCCAAAGGAATATAATTTCCCATTATAAAATGTATCCTTTGATACCAAATGTATAAATATTTCCCATTAAAACATTACATGAAAAGCCTAATTGACTTTTTCTTTTTACAGGTTTCTCATGAAGCTCAGTCATGAGACAGTGACCATTGAGCTGAAGAATGGCACCCAAGTCCAGGGTACAATTACAGGTGGGTGGTTGAGTTGTTTGACCTATCCTATCCCAAGGTTAACCTCTAAACACAGAGTAATCACACTAATGTGACTGCATCAACGAGAAAATCCATAGGAGCAGTGATGAGGTTTCGAGCCTATGCTGTGGGTGTTCCCACACGCACACTTCTGGCGACTATACCACGACACGGTATAAGGATTGCAAATCCTTGTGTGTTCAGAAGAACTCCAGGATGCAATCCTTATACCATGTTGTAGTCTAGTCGCTAGAAATGTGTGCATGGGAACACCCACCGCATAGGTTCGAACCCTCATCACTGCTCCTACTGAATTCCTAACCTCTGAACTAATCCCAAATTTAATAAGGTGACTGTTAAGGTGTAGCATGCATGTAAGGTGTAGCATGCATTGAGACGTTCCTATGGTTAAAGTAACTTATTATTTTACTAACTCTGTTAGTAACTTAACAGTACTGTAGACAACCCACAACAAAAAGTACAGTATAATTATAGGAGAAAAACACAAGTAATTATGTCTAAATAAAATGTATCCATGAAAAACTTTACAGTTTCTTAGTCTGTTCCTTAAGGAATCATATTACATATTAACACTTTCGCGCTATCTGGACGCGCCGGCGCGTTCGGTTTCGTCTAACGCTAACGCATAGTGGACATAAAGTTATGTCAACTTTTAAAATATTTGTATAAAATTCAATTTTTATCCGATTTACTTTGGGTTTGTTTCAAACTGCGCGCCATGAGGCTCTCTTTCTCACCACTAGGCTTCATGGTACAATAAGTTCATGAAAGGTGTGGATAACTTCGATCAAATGGTATTTTGTCCCAAACGGGTTGCAGGTGGGTGACTTTAGCCGTTTATACTGGTAATTCTTCCCCTATATCATGTATTATATGCATATGTCTGTTTAGGGAATTTTATTCCGATCAATATACAACCAAAAATAACTGTGTGCAACAAGTATAAACTTGACAAACATAACAAAAGTAAAAATATTTCGTGTGTGTTTGACGCTCACTGATATGTGCCAGCGTTGTTTTATATTTGTCGTTATTCTAACTTACGCTTTGTTGATATTTTTTACCTATGGGCACATAGAACATTCTATTGCGAACACATTGACATAAAAATGAATGACGTACATAAAAAATTAATGTCATGAGAGTGAAATAAGTATAAACTTTCAAAGCGCCGTGCGTCGTCCCGTCACCGATACCGGAAAACAATTTCACCACTTCCCACACTCTTGCGGGCGGGCTGCATCATTATTCTACGCTTATATTCATATCACCGTGTTGGGAATTTCATTGCGAGTCTATTGATACCAAAATTAACGCTGTAGAACAAGTGTGGAGGTGATTACAATCCCAAGAGTAAAAACATTTTGTTGCTGATGGGCGCTCACGGCGAGTCATCTACGTAGTTATTTATTTGGTGCTGGTATCCCTATATGTTTCGTGACTTATTTTACTGATGTTCTTCTAGAGAATTTTATTGCGAACACGTTGGTACCAAAATGAAATACGTAGCATGAGAACTAAGGTCAGAAGAGTAAAAAGAGTATACACATTTTTGATTTTACGCTTAAGCGATAAAAACGCAGCGCGCACATTCGGTTGGCTGAGTGACCTTTGCGGAGAGCGCGAAAGTGTTAAAAGTTGAATTTTTGTAAGCATTATTTTAGGCAAGAAAAAGGCTAATGGTTGATTAAAGCCAAAACTGCACTAATTGGACTTATGCTTTTTGTATTAAAATACTGGGAGCCGGTCGGGCGAGTGGACAGCACACTGGACTTGTGATCCTGTGGTCCCGGGTTCGATCCCGGGTGCCGGCGAGAAACAATGGGCAAAGTTTCTTTCACCCTATGCCCCTGTTACCTAGCAGTAAAATAGGTACCTGGGTGTTGGTCAGCTGTCACGGGCTGCTTCCTGGGGGTGGAGGCCTGGTCGAGGACCGAGCCGTGGGGACACTAAAGCCCCAAAATCATCTCAAGATAACCTCAAGATAGTAAAATGAAGTGTAACAGAAACTAGACTCAATTTATGTAAAGCTTTTGGTTTGTGACTTGTGAATGCAGTTAAAATAGCATAATTGGTACTGCAACATGTAAAATCATGTGAAAATTATAAAATACTGTAATACAGAATTATCCATTAGTGATTGTGTATGTATTAATTGACCCTTTCTTTCCAACAGGTGTGGATGTTGCTATGAACACTCACTTGAAGAGTGTAAAAATGACTTTAAAGAACCACGATCCAGCTAGCTACGATACATTGACCATCCGAGGCAACAACATCCGTTATTTCATTTTGCCAGAGTCTCTGCCCCTAGAAAATCTACTGATTGACGATGGCCCCAGAGCAAGGCGGGGTCGGTCAGATCGTGGGCGTGGTAAGCATGTTATTTAAAGAATTTTCTAAGTGTAGCATCTGATTTCCACTTATATTATTTAATTAAATGACATGTTATGCATTAATATATTATTTAATTAAATGACATGTTATGCATTATATACACACATATATATATAATATACAGTACTGTAGATGCTTCAGGGATATTTTGTGCCTAAACTAATTGAAAAATGCAGACCGACTTTTGACACATTCCCCCATCTTGCTCTTGGACTTCTCCCACTGATGTAATCTAGAGAGAAAGAGTAATGTTCTAATTAATTATGATTGATTTATAAGTGGTTCCATTTTATTTTTAATTACAGGTATGGGTGGGCGTGGACGTGGAGGCCGCGGTGGACGTGGGCGAGGTCGCGGCGGCCCTCGAGGACGTGGCAGAGGTGGCCCACCACGTCGTTAAGAGCTGGCTTTGACAAATATAAAATTGTTCATTTGGTACAAAAAATGAAACAACCTGTATGTGAAGGGTGTTAGGATCTTGGTCAGGTCTTGAATAGTGTCACTGAAGGATGATCATTATTTTTTTTTAAATCGGCAACTTGTGAACTACAGTATAGTAGTAGAAAATAGTGTCAGACATTGTCTTTGTAGAGTTTTTAGAAAATGTTTTATTAGTTTTTTGAATTCAGAATCAGTTTGTTAATTATTACTTTGATTAGTTGAGCTATAGTTTTTCATCATTATTTTTGTGAGTGTACTGTGTTATGTAACCGGATGAAGTTAATGAATGTTTGGACAAGCCTTCAGAAAGTGGAGTTATTTTATAAAGTGAATAATAACAAATCTTTTGAAAAGTGAAGTTTTTCTCCATAGGCACGCAAGTCCTTACAATGTAGTAATTTTGTTTTTTTTCTAAATAAATTAAGTTTTGTATGAATAACAACTTTAATTTCCTTTTGTCAATGAGTAAGGTAATAAATTTACTGAGGTCCCCATCCGCTTACTCTCACACTTATAATTTTTCCTAAATTTAAAATAACTTTTCATAGTATAGTCCTTGATGAACAAAAAAAAATTAAATTTTTTTAATTGGTTTTGCAAGAAATAAATCTTGGGCTGGCTGTAATTAGAGCAAAAATTCTGATACAGATTAGTGATGTCGAAGGACTGTCGTGCCCCTTGGATAAAATCCTGTTACTCGCTGAAACGTAAAACTATTTCTCCAGAAAATTGGTTCATGCCAAGATGCATATGGCTGTTGAGAGGAATAACAGTTCTGACAGTAAAGTATAGGGCCTGTTCCATCAGGTTCCCATAAGATGGCCAATATTTTGTCTGATTAGGGATGTTCCAACTTCATTACACACAGATCACACTAACGTGATGCATCAAATGAACAAATCCACAACTGTGATCCTCGTCACGGCTCTTGTGGATTTGTTTGAACTTCATAATTATGAATAACAAATTTTCCATGTTGAATCATCTATAAAATGGTTGCAAAATATGCAAGGAAGTGGTATGAGTTTGTGGACCAGAGTTTCCTGGTATGGTGCTCAATAGTCTTCCAGGCTTAGTATTTTTTGATAATTACTAAGTTTTCTGGTAACAGCTTCTCCATATCAACCTACCCTGGCTTTGCGCCCTAGTGAGGCCACTCCAGAGCACAACACCATAGTCTCCCGAGACTGATGGATGCCTACTACTAAGTTTTCTGGTATGGGCAATGCAGATATTGGTGAATGTCAGTTGTGATTGCATATGTAGAAGGAGCAGTGTTAATATGGTAGATAGTGTGGGCTGCTCTGGTGGTCAAGGTCATATGATATCAAAGCTTTTCTGAAACAGGCAGAAGAGAGGCCAACGACATTATATGAGCATGTTATGGAAGAGAAGATTATCTTGAGATGATTTCGGGGCTTTAGTGTCCCCGCGGCCCGGTCTTTGACCAGGCCTCCACCCCCAGGAAGCAGCCCGTGACAGCTGACTAACACCCAGGTACCTATTTACTGCTAGGTAACAGGGGCATAGGGTGAAAGAAACTCTGCCCAATGTTTCTCGCCGGCGGCTGGGATCGAACCCAGGACCACAGGATCACAAGTCCCGCGTGCTGTCTGCTCGGCCGACCGGCTCCAAGAGGCCCTGTTTTTTTTTAATTTGCTTCTTGCCTTGAGTTGTAGGAAGATATGTTCCAATTTAAAAATGGTCACAGGACCTAGAAAAAGGAAGTTGAATTACTCGCACAATTTATTCAACAAGCCCATTGAAATGCACATGCAGATTTAGTGGTCAGACTTCCCACAAAAGGGGCACAAAGATCATTGTACTACAAACTGAAGCACCATTGCCAAATTTCTGGCATATATTGCAGACATGGGAGAGAGATTATCCTTAATGCAGCATTTAATCCCACCTGAGAATCGAGGTTGGTAATTTTGACCAAAGTATTAATATAATTTGTGAAATATTAAAAACATAGTCTGCCTAGTCTTCAGACTGTACTTCATTAACTTACGTACTAGAATATTGATTTAAATTAAAAGTATTTTTTTCACATTTGTGATTAAATACACTGTAAAGTTGTGTTTTAGATAATGAGGGCCAACTGCTCTCACATTATAGAGAAGGCGAGCATAAGGTTGTTTGGAGACCATATGTTGTAGTTAAGAGTCCGAGAGATTGTTTTCATAGGAAATGCTACACACGACCATGACATGTGGCTGTGACAGATCCTGTGAGTATAAATGAACCCACCTTGCCTATCTAGGCCAATGCACATGGCTCCAAGTATATTTACAAATTGTCACTTAAATTACATTAAAACAACTTAATTTGGACGATGCTGTCAATAACAGACAAGCTGTGGCACAAAAGTGAAAAATTAATATAGGCAAATCATAGGATGATGCATAATGCTAGATCTGCCACAGGGTTTAGGAACATCACTATGTTTAGTACTGTAACACAAACTAATGATAAAATGAATATCCTATTAGGTACACATGGTTTGAATACAGTACTAAACTTTGGCCAGAAGTAATTATCAAAGTGCCAAGGTCAAAAGGCTTGTATAGTACAGTATACTGTAACCCATTAGCCAGAAGGAAAGCTTCTCTTAAGGCTCACTCGACTGTTCTCAAGATAAGCAGAGCTTTCAAGAGCTTACATTGTTGACAAGGGGAGCATGAGGATTTGATTTTAAAGGGGGAATTTCCAAAAATTTCATTGGTGACGTGGGATAGCACCGCCACACATGGCACCAGTCAATGGGGAGGTTATGATCAGAGCCAAAGTGACCATCATCCACTGTACATTGGAAACAATGGTTGTAGAAGACAATTGAACCCCCGATCTGTTACATCAAAGAAGACAGACCCCTACGGTGTAGTAGAGGAGTAGAATCTGTGGTCTTCTAGACATGAAGCCCAATCTCAGACAGGTTCAAATTTTATATAAAAGGTCATATTTGTATCTCCTTGTATATTATTTTTAATTTTGCTTTTATAACTACTGTATTGTAAACAAATAAAAAAGTACTCTTTTAGACTTTAAAAATATTTACCTTTTCTTTTTACTATAATATAGTGTATATAAGTGCATAAGTAAGTTCCTTGGAACTTTAACTATAAGCCTCCATTATATAAAATACTGTATACAGGCTCACCATAGCCCATGCTACATGGAAATTTTAGTTCAGAGTAGCTAGATCTAAAACATAAAAAATGATCTTTTACATCATACAGTATTGTGCAGTATTACTATCCTACTCTAAAATATTACTGTTGCTTTATGTATTCTTTTGCCAAGTAAAATATGGCCTTCACATGACGAAAGGTTCCCAACCCACTAATGTAGTGTATACGGTCCACTTGCTCTGCAAGCAAGAATATTACGGGTTAAACCCCTGGGCAGGGAGGAGACAGTTGGAAACCAGTGTTTCTCCACTTGCTTCTGTTTACCCAGTCATAATTATGGACCTAGTTGTAAAGTGATTAGTAGAACATACATATTCTGTTGAAAACTAGTAGGATAAGGCTTAAGATGAATTGTAAGAAGGTGAAATCTTAGTCTGCAAATAAGTGACAGAAGATTCCTACTCTAATACCAAGTTCAAGTTCTAGTAAGTTTATTGAGACAAGAAAAAAAAAATACATCTCAAAGGGATAGAGTAGCTTAGGCTACTTCTACTCCCACTCTAATATCCTCTAGTCATGTGAAAGAAAACAAAAATTAGGCTGAGGTTACCTAGCCTCACTGCTACTCCAAACATTTATATTCATACTAAAGGTAGAGTACACTTGGTCTGGTTGCTGACCTTTTGGCCACACATACACACACTAGAAGCCACATTCATCAGCCCTCTCTACCTTATGATGAGACTTTAGTCTTCATAAGCAACATGCAACTGCTCACGGCATTACCAGAGCACACATCCCCTACACCAAATTTAATCAAGTTTCTGGATAAAAACAACACACTTTTTGTTATGTAATTTATTTACAGTTATTTCTATAATTACATTCTCTTAATCCCACACATCTGTATTTCTTAGTGTTGTGTACCTCTCTTCCAATGTAACGGTAGGTTTAACCTTCTGTTGTGCTGCGTACATTTTCCTTATGAAGGCTTTACCTTTTCCAAGTGCTTGAGCATGACCCCAGGACTGGTCCTGCAAAAAAAATTACACCATAAATATATATAAGTATTCCTACTTGAATGAAACCAATTACCCTTCTAAATAGGGTTTAAGATACATCCACAGATAACTAATCATGATTATTGGCTGTTACTATATAATCATACTGGCTGAATAGTACTAAGCTAGTATGACTACAGTATATAGATTCACCAAAGTTCATCCTAAAGTCATATGTTTTGCAAGTGTGAAGGGCACTCACTGAATAGATTATGATTTTGATGATAGGGATAATAGGATGAGAAACAATCCAAAAGTCCATTTGGGGAGCCGGTCGGCCGAGCGGACAGCACACTGGACTTGAGATATATACAAGAGTTACATTCTTGTACAGCCACTAGTACGCGTAGCGTTTCGGGCAGGTCCCTGGAATACGACCCCCGCCACGAAGAATCTTTTTTCATCCAAGTACACATTTTACTGTTGCGTTAAACAGAGGCTACAGTTAAGGATTTGCGCCCAGTAAATCCTCTCCGGCCAGGATACGAACCCATGATATAGCACTCGCGGAACGCCAGGCGAGTGTCTTACCACTACACCACGGAGACTTCGACTTGTGATCCTGTGGTCCCGGGTTCAATCCAGAGCGTGGCGAGAAACAATGGGCAGTTTCTTTCGCCCTATGCCCCTGTTACCTAGCAGTAAAATAGGTACCTGGGTGTTAGTCAGCTGTCACGGGCTGCTGCCTGGGGGTGGAGGCCTGGTCGAGGACCGGGCCGCGGGGACACTAAAAAGCCCAGAAATCATCTCAAGATAACCTCCCCTTTATATCTCTTCCTCCCCCCTTCCTTCCTCTTCCATTTGATCCATTCCCTCCCACTCCTGTCACATGTCCATATTATTACTACGTACTACAGTACTGTAAATAAGTGAACTTACCAGTGTCAGGTAAGGATGCCGTAAGTAGAACATGTTTTCTTCTTCAACCTTTAGGCCCTTTACAGCATTTCCCACTTCCAGTTCTGTAACCTTTGGATATTTCCGGTGCTTCCTGAAAAGTGGATTTCTTAATTAATTTATTTTTGAAGATTTTAACACTTGCAGCTCCAACAGTTTATCACCTTTCAGGGTAAAATTTGTTTTATCTTCAGTAAAAGTTATATAAAATGGTGGGGACAATAGTACAGTATAGTGTCTGGGAAAAAAACTGCTTACAATAGCATTTTCCTGCCATATTCACAATGCAGAAAAGCAAATTTTGATGACTGTGTGTGTAATTACCTGTACCTAAGTGTGGTTACAGGATGAGAGCTACGCTCGTGGTGTCCCGTCTACCCAGCACTCTTTGTCATATAACGCTTTGAAACTACTCACGGTTTTGGCCTTTACCACCTTCTCACCTAACTTGTTCCAACCATTTACCACGATTTGCGAAAGTGAATTTTCTTATGTTTCTTTGGCATCTTTGTTTAGTTAGTTTAAATCTATGACGTGTGTGTGTTTATATACTGTACTGTATATGTTGTAAGGCACTATATTCAGCACTGCATGGGAATTATTTTACACCACATTAAAAAACATATGCATTCTTTATTTTTATAAACAACCATAATACCTGTATCTCATTACTAAAAAAAATAATATTTGAATTAGTAATATATCGTAAAGGTTAACGTTTACATTGTACAGAGTTACCCATTATGGTTATAGTTCTCTACATACTTTTTATCAATAATTTTTTCCCAGTAGTTATCTGAGCATTAGAGCCTTATAATGAGAATGGCCACTACAATCCCTTTTTTAATATAAAGAATACTTGCCATTTAGAAAAGCTTCAAAACTTTTGGGTTCGATATAATAATTATTTTTTACGTTACATTCTACATGCAAGGGAACAAAAACAGCGGAAACTGTTAATATGGCATTTTTTTCTACAACAAACAGTACATATAACACACACAAATCACAACAGCTTGATGCATCAAATGAACAAAATCCCCTTCTTTTTCCACGTCGTGGCACAGTCGATTAAGGTGCGTCTGGGATCCTTTAGGACGTAGGTTCGAACCCGCATCACGGCCCTTGTGGATTTGTAGAGTCCATATACATTTTGCATACATCACAATGTGTTAGCTTCTCTTTACACACCAAGAAGTGGAGAATATAGTGGGAACAAGTGAGTAGAAACTTTAGAGTAAATGTAAACCAAACCTCCATACTGTACGTCCTACCTGAACCATTTGTAAATGTTTCGGACACACTATACAGTACATTATAATCTCTTTAGGTCTATGCAACGAAACCCGAAACGCTTTGCGTAATAGTGGCTTTAGGCATTGTATGTACTAGCTCTATCTATAAGTCCACCAATCTTTGTAAAAATCTCTTGTATGTATGTACCTTACCTAAATAAACATTTATTTATTTAATTATTTATGCAGACGACGAGTCATAATGACGTGGCTGAAGATGAGGAGTCAACGTCGTTTCGATCCATCCTGGACCATTATCAAGTCAATTGAGAGGGTTATCTAGAGGTTATCTTCAGATGATTTCGGGGCTTTAGTGTCCCCGCGGCCCGGTCCTCGACCAGGCCTCCACCCTAGGAAGCAGCCCGTGACAGCTGACTAACACCCAGGTACCTATTTTACTGCTATGTAACAGGGGCATCAGGGTGAAAAAAACTCTGCCCAATGTTTCTCGCCGGCGCCTGGGATCGAACCCGGGAGCACAGGACCACAAGGCCAGCGTGCTGTCCGCTCGGCCGACCGGCTCCCTAAGGTGGCCACTCTACCCTCACAGCTTCACACATACCCACAAGAGCAACCCGTGCCCAGCAGGACGTCACTCACCCGCCGTAGATGTACCCATTGGGCATTTTCCTGCGCAAGAGCAACAAGGACAACCTCATGGTGGTCGAGTGACCCTCGACTCCCTCCAACCACAACAACAACACTCACTTCGTACACAACACCATTCGACACGGGATATTTGGAAACCTGCCTAATTTAATTTAGCCTAAGCTAACCTAAGCCAACCGCGTGAAATACAGTTTTAAAAATTCTAATACATAATAGTATAGCAATATACACGGTTTAAACAAGTATTAAACGAGCTTAGAATCATTTCGTGTACGAAACGACCATATTCATCAGCCACTTCGTACACAATACTAATACATATATTCGTACCATTTCCGACATATAATTTATACGTTTCGTATTAATATATAAATATATCCATTTAGCTAACTGTCAAACTATATACACTCAAGTCTAGACAATTTATGTAGTTTAGAATGTAGTAAAATATATATAATTAACGTAACAGGATGACGTGTTGATATAGTGAGTATTTCACTCTTATACTCATCAAGTACTCGTGAATGACCTGGTATAGGAGGTCAAGGGTCACTGGATGGTTGTGTGGTGACCACCAGGTGGTGTGGTGACCACCAGGTGGTGTGGTGACCACCAGGTTGTCTAGTAACCAGGTTGTCTAGTAACCAGGTTGTCTAGTAACCAGGTTGTCCAGTAACCAGGTTGTCTAGTAACCAGGTTGTCTAGTAACCAGGTTGTCCAGTAACCAGGTTGTCTAGTAACCAGGTTGTCTAGTAACCAGGTTGCCTAGTAACCAGGTTGTCTAGTAACCAGGTTGTCTAGTAACCAGGTTGTCTAGTAACCAGGTTGTCTAGTAACCAGGTTGTCTAGTAACCAGGTTGTCTAGTAAGCAGGTTGTCTAGTAACCAGGTTGTCTAGTAACCAGGTTGTCTAGTAACCAGGTTGTCTAGTAAGCAGGTTGTCTAGTAACCAGGTTGTCTAGTAACCAGGTTGTCTAGTAACCAGGTTGTCTAGTAACCAGGTTGTCTAGTAACCAGGTTGTCTAGTAACCAGGTTGTCTAGTAACCAGGTTGTCCAGTAACCAGGTTGTCCAGTAACCAGGTTGTCTAGTAACCAGGTTGTCTAGTAACCAGGTTGTCTAGTAACCAGGTTGTCTAGTAACCAGGTTGTCTAGTAACCAGGTTGTCCAGTAACCAGGTTGCCTGGTGACCAGGTTGTCCAGTAACCAGGTTGTCCAGTAACCAGGTTGTCTAGTAACCAGGTTGTCTAGTAACCAGGTTGTCTAGTAACCAGGTTGTCTAGTAACCAGGTTGTCTAGTGACTCACCAACCCATTTCCCACTAACAACATCACCATAATATAGTTACCAATGATGACATTTATTACCAAAATAAACATTTTGTTAATAAAGTTGTGATAAATAATAATGGAGCGTAAAGGTGTTGTAATGGAGCGGTTGTGTGAGGTGGCTCTTGTAGTGCTTGCGGCCGCCTGCGGCTACTTGAGCCGCCCCTTCCCGCAGCCACCCGCAGCCGCCCCGCCGCACCCTACGGAGGCCAACTGTCACTCCCAAGTCGACCAGGAGGCCGCGCTCACCCTCCAGGGTCACCACACCCTCCAGGGTCACCACACCCTCCAGGGTCACCACACCCTCCAGGGTCACCACACCCTCCAGGGTCACTACCCGCCGCACCAACTGAAGAACTATCTCCTGCCTCTAGTTAGACATTTAGCCGTGATGCGCTGTATGGCGCGCGCGCACCAGCTGCGCTACCAGTACCTGGAGGCGCAGCTGGACCAGCTGGACCTGACGGAGGACCTCCAGCTGCAGGAGGTGGACCAGACGGAGGTGGACCAGCTGCAGGAGGTGGACCAGACGGAGGTGGACCAGCCACAGGTGTCCGCTGCGGAAGAGCTCGTGAAGGAAGTGCTGCTGCCGGAGTTCCCGCTGACGGAAGTATTGATGGCGGAAGTGCCCGTAGCGGAGGCACTGGCGGCGGAAGTGCCCGTAGCGGAGGCACTGGTGGCGGAAGTGCCCGTAGCGGAGGCACTGGCGGCGGAAGTGCCCGTAGCGGAGGCACTGGTGGCGGAAGTGCCCGTAGCGGAGGCACTGGCGGCGGAAGTGCCCGTAGCGGAGGCACTGGTGGCGGAAGTGCCCGTAGCGGAGGCACTGGTGGCGGAAGTGCCCGTAGCGGAGGCACTGGCGGCGGAAGTGCCCGTAGCGGAGGCACTGGCGGCGGAAGTGCCCGTAGCGGAGGCACTGGTGGCGGAAGTGCCCGTAGCGGAGGCACTGGCGGCGGAAGTGCCCGTAGCGGAGGCACTGGCGGCGGAAGTGCCGCTCCTGGGGGCATTAAAAGAGAGGATAGCGAGAGCCGCCGGCAGCCTCCTGCTGAAGGATAGCCAGATAACACAGCAGGGTGGCCAGGACTTGCTCCTCATGACCCTCATGACCAACATGAACACAGTGCTACTGTTACTGGTGGTGCTCCTGGCCGTGTGCTCCCTGGTGTTCCGGCGCTCGCTGCTCCGGCACCACTGGCAGGGATGTGGAGCACTTGTGTCACCTGACACTTCTTGTTCCTTGTTGGTACACGACCGCAGTCCCTTATACCTCTCTCCCACCTGTCCCTGACACTCCCACCTGTCCCCTGACACTCCCACCTGTCCCCTGACACTCCCACCTGTCCCTGACACTCCCACCTGTCCCCTGACACTCCCACCTGTCCTCTGACACCAGTCCATACCATTAAACTTACAGCATATATAATGTAATGTAAGAATTACACAAGAGTCAGGTTAGCAAGTGTTCAAAATTTACAGTCATGTTATTTCTCTTTTTTCCTTTTTACTTGGTAGAGCGACGGTCTTGCTTTCTGCAGGTCGGCGTTCAATCCCCGACTGCCCAAGTGGTTAGGCACCATTCCTTTCCCCCCGTCCCATTCCTAATCCTTATATCCCTTCCTTCGTAATGATAGCTTTCTGCTGAACCACCCATGTCAATTTTATTTATTTGTTATGTATTTATTATATATATATATATATATATATATATATATATATATATATATATATATATATATATATATATATATATATATATATATATACAAGAAGGTACATTGGGTTTATGAGAGTACATAGCAGTGATGTTTTTACAATCTTCTAAAGCCACTGACACGCACAGCATTTCGGACACGTCCTTAATCTAATTGGTAAATTTTAATTAAGTGATTTGCAGCAAAATTTAAAAAAATGACAGGTAAAATATTAATATTGGTCAGCTATCCTATTATCACATTTTGGTATTATATATATATATGTAGAGATAATATTATTAAAATTATTTAAATCGTGTAGCGGGTTAAAATATATTAAATGTTAATGTGTTAAAATATATTACTTTGAAAATCGTATCAGTCACTATAAAACAAAAAAATTGGGCTATCCTTATTAGAAATTTGCTACTTTTGTTACAAATGTGCTACTTTTGTTACAAATTTGCTACTTTTGGTACAAATGTGCTACTTTTGTTACAAATGTGCTACTTTTGTTACAAATGTGCTACTTTTGTTACAAATGTGCTACTTTTGTTACAAAGTGCTACTTTTGGTACAAATGTGCTACTTTTGGTACAAATGTGCTACTTTTGTTACAAATGTGCTACTTTTATTACAAGTTTGCTACTTTTATTACAAGTTTGCTACTTATATTACAAATTCGCTACTTTTAGAGCGTCAGTTCGCTACTTTCAGCAATTCGGATTTGGCAACCCTGTGAGACACGACCCAATGTTTTGATTTGTCACGAGTGTTGATCCTGTGAGTGTTGCATATATCGTGACAATCTAGCAACATCCGTGCAACATGTCAGCTCCAGATGCTTTCATTGTCTCGGGGAAAGCTTCAAGAAGCGGGATACGCAAAAAGAAAGAAGGTAATTGATGACATTTGAGGAGAAAGTTGAAATGATTAAGATGGTGGGAGAAAAGGCTCCAGATGCCTCAAGAAGTAGGCGGGGCTTGTGGCAAATACCTTCCTGTGATTGGCTGTTGCAGGAAAATGTCAGCACTTTTCTATGAATGAAATGCTAACTTAGAAATACTTCCTTTTGCTCAATGACATCAGTGTTTTGTTCCTGACGGACGTTATTCATCTAAGTGAATAATTTAGTGCAAATAAGAGGGGCGGAACCGTCTTTATTTATCATTGATGTTATTTGCTTCGAGGCAACCCAAGTGATGACGTCACAAGGTAAGTTGCCGGACCATTTTTATCTTAACAACTTTTATATCCTGCAGTATTTAATTATAATTTCAATAAACACTTTTCAATAATTAACACCACTTTTCTGGGTAGATTAAAGTTGAAGCAGAATGTCATAAGTCGGGTTGTTGTGCTGAAATAAGATGATTTATTAAGTTGGGTGGCACCTTTAGCTGATCCCTTTCGGTGATTGGCTGTTGCGGTGAATGTCAACAAAGCATTTCCACCAATGATATACAAGCGCGGGAATTTTTACTCGAGCACAACAACCCGCCTTATGGGTTCCTGTTCCGCTATTGACAGTGCAATTACACACAGAAATCACAATTGCGTGATGCATCAAATGAACAAATCCACAAGGGCCGTGACGAGGATTCGAACCTGCGTCCGAGAGCATCCCAGACGTTCGAATCCTCGTCACGGCCCTTGTGGCTTTGTTCATTTGATAGTGCAATGTCGACACAACAGATGGCGCTAGCTGTATTTTTGAAGGCTGGGGCCAGATTCACGAAGTAGTTACGCAAGCACTTACGAACGTGTACATCTTTCCTCAATCTTTGACGGCTTTGTTTACAATTATTAAACAGTTAATGAGCTCGGAAGCACCAGGAGGCTGTTTATAATAATAACAACAGTTGATTGGCAAGTTTTCATGCTTGTAAACTGTTTAATAAATGTAAACAAAGCCGTCAAAGATTGAGGAAAGATGTACAGGTTCGTAAGTGCTTACATAAGTGCTTTCGTGAATGTGGCCCTCAGGCCTGTTGATAGTGTTCTTTTCTGCCGTTAGATGGCATCTGCTGTATTTTTTTATTTTTGATATTCCCTTTAAACACTGATCTATAAATCCCGTAGCTTATGATAAGGATTTATACCATGCTGGTATAAGGTAAGTGGAGTTCTGCATTTAATTAGTTTTATCTGGTGTTGAGGATATTATCATATAATGTGTTAGGTTGTTGGTCGTATATCTGATGTTAATTGTTGTTCTTAAAATCCTGCCAGTGGGCGCCATTGGTTGAAAGCGACCGAAACGCTGCGCGTACTAGTGGCTTTACAAGATTGTGAATACTATGCTATGTATTCTCACAAATCCAATGTACCTTCTTGTATATAAATATAATAAATAAAAATAAATAAATAAACTTAATGTATTGTACTTAATATACTATGTAGTGTAGTGTAGTGTACTGCTCTTTCTTGAGATGTGAAGTATTTCCAAATAAATTAATCAGTCCGTAATATTATTTAAACAACAAATTATCCATATAATAACAGCATTTCACACGAAAAATTATTCGATATATTGAAATTTGATAGTGAATTCCAGTCTAGGAATCTCCCTATGACGAAACTGTACTGTGTTCTCTTTAATAAGGTATACAATATATAATAATTAATAACAAATCATTGTGTAGGGGACAGGCAGCCAGTGTGTATATACATGTTAGGGTTATATGGAGGTCCCTTCAAGGAGTAACTAGTTATGGTGAGAGACAAGGCCAGGGCTGGTCCGAGGCTATCTTGAGGTTATCTTGAGATGATTTCGGGGCTTAGTGTCCCCGCGGCCCGGTCCTCGACCAGGCCTCCACCCCCAGGAAGCAGCCCGTGACAGCTGACTAACACCCAGGTACATATTTTACTGCTAGGTAACAGGGGCATAGGGTGAAAGAAACTTTGCCCATTGTTTCTCGCCGGCGCCTGGGATCGAATCCGGGACCACAGGATTACAAGTCCAGCGTGCTGTCCACTCGGCCGACCGGCTTGTTGGCGGCTCCGCCAAGCTCAACTTACCCGCCATTACAAGCATAAGTGTTAACAAATCTTCAAAAATGAAGATTTTGTTACATTAAAAAAATGAAGATTTTGTTATATTCCAACTGTAAATGTAGGAATAGTTTATTACAGCATTCAAGATTAAGAAAACAGTTCGGAAACTAAGGTTTGCCCGAAGCGATGTGCGCATTAGTGGTATAGCGAGTATATTAGGCTTCAGGGACAGTACATACTCGCTCTATCTAGAAATCCAACATTCTGTTTGTAACTTGTAACACCAAGCCATTACGACTATATAACACTTGGAAGGGGTCAGGATAAGGGCTATTCATGCCCGTGCCACCTTTTGGGTGGCTTAATCTTCATCAATCAGGATAAGGATTTGGGATAAGGATAGGATATATGCCCGAAACGCTTTGCGTAATAGTGGCTTTAGGCATTGTATGTACTAGCCCTATCTATAAATCCATCACTCTTTGTAAAATCTCTTGTATGTATGTACCTTACCTAAATAAACATTTGATTTGATTTGATTTGGATGGGACGGGGGGAAAAGGAATGGTGTCCAACCACTTGTGGATGGTCGGGGATTGAACGCCGACCTGCATGAAGTCAGACCGTCGCTCTACCGTCCACCCCAAGTGGTTGACATGAAACAGCTCAAAAAAAAAGGTTCCAATTAAAGTGGGGTTGCTGCAAATTATCATTTGTATTTCCTGGAAATATGTATTAGGTTGACGAGTTTAGCAGTTACCAGGGAGGATGTTCTTAAACAAATAGTAAAACTCAAACCAAACAAATCCCCAGGGCCGGATGAAGTGTTTGCTAGGGTGCTTAAAGAATGCAAAGAGGAGCTTGTGACCCACTGTCAACCATATTTAATAAATCAATAGAGTCAGGCAGAGTGCCAGAGTTTTGGAAAGTTGCTAATGTGATACCAGTTTTTAAGAAAGGAGATAGATCACTTGCGTCTAACTATCGACCAATTAGCCTAACGTCTATTGTGGGAAAGTTACTCGAATCTATAATAGCAAATAAAATTCGTCTTCATCTTGAAAAACATAAATTAATAATTGAGTCGCAACATGGTTTTATAAATGGCCGTTCATGTTTAACAAATTTGTTATCTTTTTATTCTAGCATTGTTGAGGCAGTTGATAGTGGTAAGGATTGCGATGTTGTATACCTTGACTTTAGCAAAGCTTTTGATACAGTGCCACATGAAAGACTGATTAAAAAGATAGAGTCTCATGGTATTGGGGGTGCTATATTAAGCTGGATTAGGGCATGGCTATACCAAAGGAAACAGAGAGTTAGTATAAATGGAATCAAGTCAGAGTGGGAAAATGTTGTAAGTGGAGTGCCTCAAGGCTCTGTCCTGGGACCTCTGTTGTTTATAATATATATAAATGATTTAGATTCAGGTTTGAGTAGCAACATTTGCAAATTTGCCGATGATACGAAAATCGGTAGGGAAATTAATTCGGAGGAGGACTCACTATCACTTCAAGTTGATCTAGATAGGTTTTGAAATGGTCAAAGGATTGGCAGATGCAGTTTAATGCTGATAAATGTAAAGTTCTGAGGTTAGGTAATGATGATAGAGTTACAAGATACGAGCTAGATGGTGTTGTGATTGCGAAGTCGGATTGCGAAAGGGATCTGGGAGTTATGATTAGTAAGAATTTAAAACAAAAGGATCAATGCATAAATGTTCGTAATAAGGCAAATCGGACACTTGGATTTATTAATCGCAGCGTTAGTAACAAGACACCTGGTGTGGTTCTCAAGCTATATCTTGATCTA